CTGATGTGGAAAATGTTTTAATTTTAAGCATTTCAAAAGCAGCAAATAAGAGTTCTGTGTTTATTTAACTAGTTGTACTAAGATGGAATTTTTTCCAATAATGCAGCAAAAAGAAATTTCCAGATGGCAATTTAAATGGATTCATATAAAATACTGAAACATTAATAAAAGTAAAAAGATATTTGAAACATAGCTGACACTCAAGAAATGCAAATTGGACTGGGGCATGGCTCAAGTGGTAGGGTGCTCGCCTAGGAAGAGCAACGCCTTGAGTTGAAACCCCACACCTCAAAAAAAAATGCATGTTGATAAATTAACACAATGCAACATATGATATTCTTCTCAGCCAAGGAGGTCGTCTGAACTTTAGAAATGGAACAGGAGATGATAAGACAGTGAGTCTGTGTGATAAATCAAAATACTGTTCCATCAAATAATTCATAAAAGGGTGAGTTGAGCATGCTGAAAAGATAGAATTGTATGGCTATTTCCTTAACAAAATAAAACTATATTTACCTAAATCCTAAATCTAGCATCTTACTTATGGATAATCTGTCAATAGCAAGAAGAAAGAAAATAAGTTTAACAAGGTAAATAAAAGTAATTCTAAACCCTTTCTAAAGACACAAAAGTAGGCTCGAACAAGGAAAAGACATCATTTGTTTTGGTTAGAACATCTCAACATTTCAACAAGATGTCAGTTCTCTGTAATTTATAAATTTAAGGCAATCCCAATAAAAATTCCAGTGAGCTTTTCTTTTCATATTCTAACACCGATCCTAAATTTGTTTAAAAAAGAAAGAAAGAAAAGAAAAGCATAAACACACAAGAATAGCCAGGAAAATACTGAGAAGGAAAAGTTGTGCAGGACACAGCCCTGATGTTAAGACGTGTTATAAAGCTCACTAAAAGTGACCACTGAACAGGTCACTGGAAGAAAACAGAAGTTGCAGATGTACGAAATTCCATAGTCAATGCAGCATATGATAAAGGTGGTATCTCAAGTTAGTGGGGCAGTCGATAACCTTTTTAACTAGGGGTGCTGAGACAACTTGATATCCACTTGGAAACAAGGAGCTGAGGATGCAGCTCAGGCTTAGCGTGCATGCCTAACCTGGGCGAGGCCCTAGGTTTACTTGGGAGTGGGGTGGGCTGGGGGTTCATTCCTCAAAGTATACCCAAGAACCAACTCCAATGTATCAGATGTCTAAATGTTCAAAAGAAATCGATACAATACTAGAAAAAAAGCATGGACGAGGTGTAAGGGAAAGTATGACTAAATGTCATGCATTAAAATATGACCATTAGGAAAGGGGGAGGGGGAAGAGGGAGAATAAAGGAGGGGTGAGCCAAACCGGGGTAATATAAATAGATATAGAAACAGATATAGATGTATAGAAATGTATATTTATATATACCAAATATCTGTATCTATATATATAAATGTCACAAGGAAACCCCCTGTGTAACTATCATACACTAATAAAAACGTTTTTAAAATATGACGAAAAGCCCAGCTATAATAAAATATTGGTAAGTTTTACTACAAAAAAAAAGTTGACACAGAAAGAAAAAAAGCCACCATAAGCAATTTCAAAAGATAAATGAGAAACTGAGAGGAAATATTCACACCATAGATCACAGATAAAGAACCAATATCCCTAATTTACAAAATACTTTAAAATCTGAGTAGGAAAAAAAGACCAAAACTGGTATGGAGAAAGATACCCGCGCTCCGCGAGTCCTGAGGGGCGCCGCTTCTGCGCCCCTGGAGGCTGCTGTGCCTCTGGTGGAGCCCTCGCGCCCCAATCCGCTTCTCCGGGGACTAAAAACCAGGAAGCATGGCGGGCTCCCAGGCTCTGGGCGGACCTCGCACTGCCCCGGCTCCCATCTCTTCGGGCTCTGGAAGTCCATCTGTAGCTTGGTACTCAAGTTTTTCCCGGGTTTGGGTCCCAAGATTCCTCCACCAGCAGCGGGAGGGGGCTGACGCTAGTTTGCCCCTACTGCGGGTCACACCATCCAAAGAACACATGCCTTGAGCTGCTCTATTTTTTTTTTCCTTTGAAAATGAAACCAGGAAAAGTTCTGTTCTACTGTAGCCAACAAAGCCAAACATTGCAGAGACAGAGATGGGAGAATAAAGAGCGTTTTGGCAACAAACAGGATGGCAGATGGGGACTCTTGTCCTTAAAAAGCCATTTGCCTTAGGGTTTGCAAGCATAAGGTTTTTATAGGGATTGTGGGGAGGTATATAATATGGGAGACCCCAGGATCGTTGCAAATTGCAAGTGGTTTGCTTTTCTAACACTCTGGCTACTGTCTGTAGGCCCCTGGATGTTCTCCTTCCCCTAAATAAAGAAAAGTAACTGATTAGAAAGTCTTATGACTTCTGTATTTTTAGTTCCTTTCTTTAGGAATAATTAATCTTATAGTTAATCATTAAGATATAAAAAGCATCATTTATTAGAAAACAGGGGAAGCAACTGTCTTTAAGAAACCAGGGAAGAAGATGGAAAAACACTGGATAAGATCGTGAAATGCAACTTTTCACGGAAGATCAACTTCTTGTGGTGGTGGCTTGTTTTGTCTGAGTGTTGGCTTGAGACCGGGTGTCACCATCTATCCCTCGCTGGCCTTGAACTTGCTGTATACCTCAGGGATCCCCCTGCCTCCATTTCTCCAGTTCTGGTTATACAGGTGTGTGACACCGTATCCCACACAGAAGAACAGTTTTAATACACTAGGTGGCTTCAGTTAGAAGTGTCATACAAAAAAGCTACATTGCGTAGCTGCCTAACCTCCAAATTAGTGATTTTAAAATCAGCCCAAAACAAGTAGAACTAGAAGGTTTACTGAAGGTTTCCCTTGGTGACAAAAACAACTTCTATCCTGTAAGTTGTAAACAGCTGCCTCAGGACTGTGTTTAGACAAATTCTGGGTCAAAATACTGGGCTCTGCAAATTCATTAGTGGGTAAGCTCAACCAATTGCATGTGAACAGTGTGCACACTACTTCATGGTATTATCTTGAGGATTAAATGAGCGTAGAGTGCCTGGAAACATTAAAAAACAAAAATCAGTATAATTCCCTTTTCTGCTGGGCACCCATTCCTAACCCACCCCACTTTCCTTCCCTATACTTCCATCTTCAGAAAATACTCTTGAGTCCTTTTCTGTGTCCCCCAAGGCATGACTTGTACCAGCTTCTCCTCTGGCCTGGCAAGACATTAATTTTACTAACATGTTTTGAAGGCCCTCAATATGTCTGTCTCCTGTTAAGTTTGTAAAAATGAACCAGACACAGATCTCTTCTCTCTGGTATGAGGATGGAAGTAAGGGGAAGAAGAAACAGATTAATACTCAGTTACCTGGTGTATCATGAAAGGTCCTGGAAGGAGATAGATGGTATACTTAATTAATTGAGAATTTAATAAATCTACCTAGGTTTAAGGGAAACCATTCAGAGATGGTGAAGCATCACCCTGTCCTCTTCCCTACCATCTAGGCAGCAGGCATGAGGGAGAAACACCTTCCGTACCTGGTAAGAGCAATACCTATGTATGCAGGGTACCATCAGGCAGGAAAGAGTCATGACTACTTTCCAGAGCCAGTCATGGGAATAAGTCTCCTTCCACACTCTTCCCCTAACCTCCAACAGCTTGCTGGTATCTCCTATTTGAACCCAACCAGTAATCAAAGAAGAGAGTTGATGCAGTGCTTAGGGGTCAGTCTCCAGGACCACACCCAGGGTAGAGAGCAAGGTAGTAGGGTTTTGATATCATATTTACACAATAGAAATAAATATAAAGTATTAGAATAACAGAGGATTAAGTGATTCATTGTAATTTGGGCACAAGATATGGAGGAAAGTTCCTATGGTAGTGGCATTTGAGTGGGGGATTTCTAAGAGAATGAGGTGGAGGGACATTCTAGTCAGAGAACATGCAGAAGACTGAAGGTATGGCTTGTGCTTTTGTAAAGCCAATGGTCTGGTGTGATGGACTCTAGGGTTTGGTGGTGAACAAGGGACATGAGGAAAAGAAAGTAAAATGAGGAATGTCTGATGGCTGATGGCTGAGCCAGAGTTGAAAATTTCTTTTCTAGGCCAATGGTCCCTAGACCAGAAATCAGCATCACTTGGGAACCTGTTAGAAGTGTACATTCTTGGGCCCAGAGTTATACCTACTGGGGGTAGAGCTCAGCAATCTGTGTCCAGATGATTCTAACACAAGGTCAAGTTTGAGAAGCACTGTTGGGGTCATCAGGGGACCACTGGAGTCATATCCTCAGAGGAGAGATGAGATCAGAGCTGTCTTTTCAAAAGTAGAGAGGTGGGAGAAGAAAGGGGACCACAGGGACAGAGAAGAGTTCCTGATAGTATTTCAGTAGTCCTGGTGAGAGAACTATGAGGATGCCAAATGAACAGTGACATTCGAAATATAAAGGGAGAGTCTGGGCCAGTGACTATGGAGAGGAAAGATGTAGGATGGAGAGAAGCCAAAGTTGCCACTAAGGCTACTTTTTTAACGTGCTACAAATGTTATTTTACATTGGCTCTTGTTTTCCCAGGAAATAGATCTGAGTTCCCTTCTCTATAAAATAGGGCATTTAAGATGATTTCTGGGGTCCTTTTCAGCTCACATAACTGGACAGATATGCTGCGTGACCGCCAGGTCTTCTCTAGACACTTGTGAAGCCACAGACAGGATGATAGACTATAGCATTGCATCATGTGTTACTTTACCTCATTTCTCCTTTTGTTTATCCTTAAATTCACTGTCTTGGGCTTGCACCTCCCAAACAAAGAGTATTTTAATCTTTGTCTCAGTTGATATGTTTTAGGGGCCTCAGGACCCAGTCAAGAAAACAGCAAATAGTGCCTCATTCCCTTACAGAAATCAAAGCAAAAATGGAAATAAATCATTCAGATTAGAGTAAGAAAATCTAATAATGGTCTGATTTTTCTTCTAATGACTATTTTGGGACTGTTTTTAGGGGAGCATTAAATTTCTCAGTATTATTTTTTAATTCTTCTTTTCTTTAGAGAGAAGAGTATTCCCTATCTACTGTTACTCAGTGAGCAAGCAGGGGGCAGTAGTTTGATAGAGTGTTACATATGCTTTCTCTAGAAGAAAAGAGATGAAGTCTGTAGCCTACTTTTATCTTTACATAATCTATGTGCTAGAAAGAAAAAATTTCACAGGCAAAAGTGGCAGCAGTGAAGTCAATAATAAAGTTCTACTGTGATAATATTTAGCAAACAGCTACACAGAAAAATCGACCCAAGATGTCGACATGGTATAAAATTGTGTGCTGTAGGTGTCATAGGCAACACCCCAAACCTCAACCTATGGAAAAAGAGAAAAGCAATAAGGGAAAGAACACAGGCAATCTATTCCAAATGTGGATTCAACTTTATTTTAAGGCAGGTAATAATGTCTTCCAAAGAGCAAAAGCAGTAATCCAAATGCTCAATAGCCACTCACATCACAAAGCCTGCATGTGCACACATAAAACAAGACCCAGAACTGAGCAGAATCCCCAACTTTTGCTTTTTGAAGCAAATTTAACTAAAAGACCAGAAGATAGGATATAATTAAGCACAATGATAACATATTTAGTGACTAATCAAAAGTTAAAAGTATAAACTAGATGTGGCATGCTCAAGCAGAGGGAGGAGAATCTCAAGAGCAAGGCCTGCCTGGGCTACATAGTGAGACCCCATTCCACACACACACACACAAAATCCTAATGAATCACCTGATTTTTAAGAAAAGACATATCATTTACTTAAGCTTTCTTAACACTCTGGGCAAAGGAAAGGATTCTGGGTTTTTCAGTTCTTTGAATAGGACTTCCTTATGGGAAATTTCTTTTGAGCACTCTGCAGGAATCCACTTCCAATAGAAGCACAGAATAAAGGGAACTCCTCAGCTGGCTCCATGGAGAATCATCCATGTAGGAGGCAGTACAGCACTACCTCTGCAGTAGTACACAGAAGTAACTATACCGTGTCTGTAGGGTACAGAAGTCCTGGAGCCAGACTTCCTGGTTCAAATGTCAGCACTTCACTTGTTAACGATGTGACCTTTGGTGACTGACTTATTCTCTCTATGCATCAGTTTTCTTGTTTATAAAACAGGGATACTATTGCATTAATCACACTGATGTAAAGCTCTTATAAAGGGGACAAAAAAAGTACTCAATAATAGCTATTATTATCTGGCCAAAAATTTTGTGTGCACATGTGTGTCTTTAGGAAAAGGACAAGACATATTGTTCACCATTTTTGGAGAGAGATTGGGACACAGATAACCAGATAAAGTGCTATTACAACTTTCTTCTGATTTGGAGAACCATATGAAAGTAAAATTGGATGTGTCATATATTCCTATATAGGCTCAACTTGCATCAAATTACTACATTGGGGTCTGCAGTTACTGTAAAATGTTAGATGATGAATGTATAAAACTGGAAGCAAGGTATACTCAAAAGTACAGCATATCCAGAAGAAAAAAGGTTCAGAATCATGTAGCATTTCTATGGCAGGTAAGTGCACTTCATAGGGCAGGTTCCAAGGATCAGGGAGGAATAAGGACCAAGTTCAGGGTTTGATAAGAGTATTCCAGAACAAGAATCTCAGTTTTCCAATGAGTGCTGAGGTCTCCACAAATGGCTTTCTAACACCTGCTTTTGCCAAAGATAGAGGAAGTGTATATCTCTCTGCCAACCTACTAGCAACTTGAGTCAGGCAACAAAAATGCACTAAACAACAACTGTATACCAGGTTCTGTGTTATTAAAAATAATAGCCTTACTACAATTATTACCAAAGGCTGCCTAATCTCTGTTCCTGGTTGTCTTTCTTGCAATGTGGGAGTAAGAGAAATGTGGGTCTCTAATTTTCCATAACCAAAGCTTTTTAAGAAATTTCCCCATGATCCTTTGAGGACTGATGCTACCTTGGAGACATTCTTGTTGAAATAATTGGGCTTTGTCAAAAATTAATAAATGGCAAATAAAAAAATTCCCATTTACACAAGGGTTTCATTTTTACTGGTAGAGATTAAAGGGAAAACAAGTAACTAAGGTACCAACCGTAGAGATGGCAAGGAAAAAAAGATCAAAGGTCTGGGTGGGTAGAGATCAGTGGCCCTGCATTTCATCCCCAGCACAAGAGAGAGAAAGAAAGAAGAGAGAAAGAAAGAGGAAAGAAGGAAGAAAGGAAGGAAGACAAAGAAAGAAAAGAAGGAAGAAGAAAGAAAAAAGAGAGAAAAAAGAAAGGAAGGAAGGAAAGAAGGGAGGGAGGGAGGAAAAAAGAAAAGGAAATAAAAGGTGAAAAAGAAAGGGGAGTCAATTGGTACCTAGTAGCAGAACTGAAGGACATAGAAGATGATTTCAGACACACCACATACACCAACCATGACACAAGAATGAGACCAAATTTCCACAATGAAATCACACAAGCTCCTTGCCTTTTGCCTTCCAATAAAAAAGCAACACTCTAGAAACAGTCTAGCAGATTGATATTCTTATATAAACCACTTCTTGAGATAAAACGTTTTTTTAAGGTGCTTCTACAGAAGAATTTAGAGTGGCATTAATTCAACCTCCTAACACATCTTTGAAAGCTTCAGTTGGCATCCTTTCAGCAGTTTTCTTTCTCAATTCCTTTAGCTTTCAGCTCCTCCTTGACACGTTTTAGATAATCAGGATCAGGGTAGCCAAAGCTGCAGAAAGAAAAGTTCCTTTAGCTTCATCATAAATGGTTCATAATAATCTGTACAATAGATCTTGTGCACTTGAGGATTTAGTACGTAGGGTTGTAAACATTCACAGGTAGCATTGAAAGTGGGTGATGTTAATCATTCTTAAGTGTGCAGATGTGGCTCATTTAGCTAGTGAGTAAGCACAGCTGTCTGGCTAGCATCTGTCTTCCAAGCAGGCTTTTGAAATTCTCAGTTTATTGTAAGAAGTGATGCTTATAAGGTTATAATGACATACTGTATTTTACAGGGGAGATTGCAATCATATACTAGTAGAATTTTCAAACTTGCAGATTGGAAAAGATCTCACGATCTATTTCAATTCTGAATACCAAGGGTACAGGGTATTCTGAGTTTCAAAAGGAACAATCAGATTTACTGTAATAGTTTCCACTGCCATTAGTTCCCCTACAACTAAGACTTTTTCTAGCATGCTATTGAAGTGAGTTCAGATTCTCTGTGGACTGTTATGAAGGAAGGGAAGAAAGATGACATTAAAAGATAACAATTAAATAACATTCCTAAGGTCTACCCTTCAAACAGACATGAAGCCACAAATTAAGTCAACTTATATCACTCATCTTGGATTCTGAAACCTCTTCCCCTTTTTGCAAAATTAATAACTGCATAATGGTTGGCAGGGGAGAAGGATGTATGGAACCAATCTTTTTGTCTTTGAAATGATCATTCCAGACTAGACTGTTTCAAAATCATTTTTTTTTTTTTTTTGGTAATACTGGGGTTTGAACTCATGGTTTCATGCTTGCTAGGCAGGTGCTCTACCACTTGATTTACTCTTCCATCCCTCAAAATACTTTACTATCACTGCTGCTATAAAGTCTACTTATGCCCACAACCTAAAATTGTATAATTTCACAAACTGTATTCTTTGTTTAGTAATTGTTACATTTCAAAAGGTTCTCACTTTACTGGTCCTCCACTCTGTGATGTTTTGTGGTGGATATCATTCCATGTGATGACATCTGAGATTCCTGACATTCGAGAGATCCCCACTGTGAAAATCAGCTTTTGATCAAAGGCTGCACGAAGCAGACCCAAAACCTCTCTTCCTTCCTTGTTATCAGGCAAATACGCAGTTCGATGTGTTCCAGAATAAGGCTTTCCTGGGTTTGGGTGCTCTTCCTGTATGAAGACAAGAAAATGTCATGTGAAAATAGGCCACTGTGGAAGTTTTACTATATGTATAGATATATTTATTTGCAGATAGAACAAATTAAAAGTAAGAAAACTTTTGAAGTTTTACTCAAATTCCCAGTAATTAATATTTCTCCTCTTCAAATTCCATCCTAACACATAATCTCCACTCACTTTCTCAACCTAAGAAATAGACACAAAATGCTTGGGGTCTAGTTTAGTAGTGGAGTGCTTATTTAGCCCTTGGTTCAATTCCCCAACACTGCCCACCCCCCCCAAAAAAAAAAACAAACTAGGAAAGGTATCTAAGTTATAAGCAGACAATGTGATCTTTACCATTATTTTGGTCCCTTGCACATAACCATGGAATAATTCCCTGGGAAATCCATCCTCTAATAGGCAACAGGAAAATCCCTTTTGCTCTGGTAATCTAGCATAATGGAAAGAAACCCAAGGAGCTCAGAAACACTTACTGTTTGTATGCCGCTTTCTATATTATATCGAATTGTAATGGTACCACAGTTTTCATAACCTGGAAGTGATGCTCTTGAAACGCTATAAGTCATGGTTCCATTTGGCTGATTCCCTTTATGAACACCATAGGAAGTCAGACACACAGGACAGACTGGCTTATATGTCATGGACATTCTGATACAAGCGGTGCAGAATTCATGCTTGCACTTTGGTAGCACTTGTTTGTCATGGATGGTATCCATGCAGATGGCACAGATGTCCTCTACTTTCTCATTCACCTCTGAAACATCAGAGCATGCAGAGCCCCTGAGTGAAGGCAAAGCTGCTTTAGAATCATTGCTGTCAATATCCATGGGTGTTTCATTATCCACATTTAATTTCTCTCCAGCTAATGGCAACAGTCCCCATATTTTTAAGACATACTGCTTTGCCTGTGCAAGGTACTTTGGTAAACCAGTCAAGGTCATTGACTCTTGATTTTGAACCAACTGTATATTCGGATGTCTTTTTCTAAAGTCATTGGCAAACTTAGTCCCATGTAAGTGCACTTTCTCCTGGCCCAAAGGTTTCAACAAAAGAACTTCTGTCATCAGTTGACATGTGGCATGTTGAAAGGCATCAATGAAACTTGCATAAGCATGCACAGACAGATCTATCTTCTTGTCCACAGGATCAAACTGAATGCATGTTTTCTGATGTTTCTCAAAAATCTTACAGCAAGTGTTGTACTTCTGATCTATCTTTGGTATCTCCTGGAATAATTCAGCTTCTAGAACCTTATAGAGAGTAGTATCAACCTTAAGTATATCCATCATGCAACTGGGAGCGAGTATTTTCACAGGTGCTTTGTTACAACTTTCAGAGATTTTTTCTTTGGCAGCTGAAATGTCATCTTGGTTTCCAAGGAGGGTTAGCATTCCTCCTTCCTCCTTTATCAGAAGCTTTGAAAAACAGTGATTCAATTCCTGTTTGATTTCATTTGCCTGCTTATTGTCTTGTAAAGAGACATAGTCTTGCTTCAGAGCTTCTGTACTCTTCTGGAACTCACTCACAAAAGACCCAAGAGCTGCATCTAGGTCACCTGATTGATTGGCGGTGACATTTATATAGACCACATTGGGAGACTTCTCTTGAGTTTTGATGTTTACACCAAATCTTTTCTCTATTGAGTCTATTTTTCCAGGACAGGTATGTCTGAAGTATTCAAAGAAAGGCAAGGAAACTTCAAAAGTGTTGCTTTTCTCCTGTGACCTGGTTTTTGGTTCAGAAGGAAAAAAGCAGCTATCCCAGCCCTGCTGATCAGGTGGCTTTCTCTCCATGGAGGAAGGGGAAGACTCCTGTTTCTGCTCACTTTTCATGAGCTGCCCACTCAAGAAGTGATATATTTTCTCGATATCTTTGAAGTTACCACGCACCTTCTCAATTCCATCATTACCCTCCATTTTTTTGACATGGGGACAGATAGTGGTTACATGTGCTCTCTGCTCTTTGGAAAACAATTCACAGTTCAGGTCAGCTTCTACAGTAAGAAAGATCTGAAATTTTAAAAGGAACAGATACAAATAAGATCTCTCAGACATCTGGGCCTAGTCTCTTCTTCAGGAGAATGTCCAGAGGGTATAGAAATAATCACTATGTCTTTCCTTAACAGGGAACAACTGCTTTAGAATCCTTTGAAAAGAATGCAGTATGCTACAACTCAGACGTTTAGTCCTAACTGCATATTAGAATCACCTGGGGAGTTTTTTCCTTTTTTTTTTTTTTTTTTAAAGCCAGGAACCAGGCTCATCACAGAGATTCATGTAGCTGATGTGCAGTGGAGCCTGGGCATGAGCATTTTAAAAGCCCTTTGGCCAAGAGATCTGTGTTCTAGAGCTTCCATTATCTGTTGACCTTGGGGAATGAGGGTAGAGGAAAGGAACTTCTGCTCTCTAGACAAGTTGTTGTAGTCCTCACAAGAGAGCCTGTGAGCCTGGAAAAATCCAAGGTAGATTTTTTTCCCCCTGTTAATTTTTTTCCTCCTATTTACCCTCCCTTCTTAAACAAAACACAGTGAAACAAAACAATGAGCATCTGACTTCATGCAAAGTTTCTAGGCCCTTTTAAGTCTTAGTCTTTAGAAGCTCAATTATAAGACAGAAATACCAGATTAGGATATAAAGAACAGAGGCAAATCAAATGTAATATAAAAGCAAACTTTCTAATTTTTGTTCCCTGCAAGATCTTCGCACATACTCTTTTCTCTGCATGGAACACTATTTCTCTAGATCGTCAAAATGGTTTCTGAATCCAGCTTCTTATACCTTTGAAGGGACTCTTTCATTACCTTCCACCTGGTGCACTGCATCCTCTCTCAATTGGGCTCTGACCTTTCACTCTAGCTACTTCCTACATGTGTATATTCAGCCAGAGTGATCCCATGCAAATATAATCCAGATTGTCCCTACTACCCTGGCTTAAAGCCATCTGATGACTCCCCTAATATTTAAGTTAAATCTGAAGTCCTTATTGTCATCTTCAGAAGACCTGACTTCTGGGGAATCTCTCTAAGTTCTCAGCTCTCTTGTCCTTGCTTATTGCCCTCCTCCACCTGGCTTCCTTGAAATTTCTGGGGCTCAGGATATAAACTCTTGTGGGGCCTATACACCCATGTCTGCCTCCTTTGGCCTAGAATAGTCTTTCCCCAGAAATCTACTCAGCTAGCTCCATTCATATCTCTACTCAGATGACACCTTATTTGAGAAATTTTTCTAGACATCATATTTAAAATAGAGGTTCTGTCACTGTCTGCTTTATTTTTCTTCCTAGCCTTATCTCCGACAGGCATTTTATTATATATCAATTTGTTTACTACTGTCTGTTCCCTTCACTAGAAGGTAAGGGCCCTGAGGGCAGAGGCTGCTATGAACCTGGCTGTGTCCCCAGCCCCTGTAACAGTGCCTGGTACACAGTAAGCATATCTATTTGTTTAATGTATTTTTTCATGGTTGGCTCCGTTTCATCATCTTAAGTCTCTGCAGAAAAGTTGACTCTGACTTCTGATCAGAAGAATCACCACCTCCTTCCTCCCCTTCCTCATTCTGGCTTGTTCTACTCTGAGACAAAATCCCATTTTATTCTCCTCTTAGCATGTATCAGTCTCTGAAATGCTTTTATTCCATTAGTTTACTTGCTTATTGTCTTTCTGTATGCCTCTCCACCTCCAATACAAATTGCAACAGAGCAACCTTGTCTGTTCTGTTCACCTCTGTGTCCCAGTGCCTAACCCAGTGCCTGGCTCATAGTTAACCCCAGGATGAGGTTTTTGGATCAACAAGACAATAGGTATGGTGACTGCAGAGGCAGCTGCAGGAACAGAGCCAGCTCCTCTGGCAAAACTGACCTTTTGGACACTGGAATTCACAGCAGTAGGGACAGGTTCTTCATTTGGATGCTTCTGATCAGACTGTGGCTCAGCTTGTAAGTGTGTCAAAGAAGAAATTCTGGGTCTCATATTCTCTACTGGATTTTCAGTAGTTTTCAGGAAAATGGTCACAAGTTTGTCTTCAACAAGCATCTCATGCTTCTCTTTTCCCAATACCCTCTCTTTAGCTTTAAGGGAGACATTAAACACGCATTCACACAAAAGCAAGGAAGATTTCATACAGTTAGCCCTCAGTGTCCCCTGTGGATTTGCTCCCAGAAATCCCAAGGATACCAAAATCCAGGGACGCTCAAGTCCCTTATATAAAAAGTATAGCACTTGCATACAACCTACTTATATCTTCCCATATACTTTAAACCGTCTCTAGATTACTTATAATGCCTAATACAATTGTTAATGCTATGTAAGTAGTTGATATACATTATTGTATATAGCATATTGACAAGAAAAATGTACATGTTCAACACAGATGCTATTTTTTCTCAAATAAGTCCCATCCCTGATTGGTTGAATAAATAAGTGCAGAAACCGTGCATGCAGAGTGCCTCACAATAACCCCCTTGTTCATTCATCTGTACCCTGACCTGGCACCATGGCAGGACAGCTGTTCCCTGCATCCTGGAATAGTGAGTTGGTGATAAGAGAAGAATGGGGAGCTATTCAGAACTCTAAAGTAGGCAGCTTAAGTTTTCCTTAGAAACCAAAGCTTAATGATAATAGAACATCCACTCACTAAAAGTCATGTTTCTGAAATTGTCTCCTCTCCCATTTCAAGATATGGAAAAATATTCATTACACTGTTAAGGGGGAAAAGCAGGAATCTAAAGTTCAGACTTATAATGCTGTAAGGGTGTATGTTTGCTGACATTCATAGAAAATATCTAGAAGGAAATATACAAAAGTGTTTCCACTGTAAATCTCCAGATAGCATTCTTTATTCTTTTCTCTAGTGAGCATGTGTTACTTTTATAATCCTCAAAAAACAAGTCAATGGATAATTATTTAAAACCTAAAAATGTCTAGGGATGTAGCTCAGTGGTGGCAGTGGTGGGAGAGCATAAAATCGGAATTCTTTTCTTTTCTTTTCTTTTTTTTCTGTACTGGGGTTTGAACCAGGGCCTTCACCTTGACCCACTCCACCAGCCCTATCTTTGATTTTTCGAGATAGGGTCTTGCGGAACTATTTGCCGAGGCTGGCTTCCAACTGCGATACTCTTGATCTCTGCCTCCCGCTTAGCTAGGATTACAGGCGTCAGCCACCGGTGCCCGGTCAAAAGTGGAATTCTTAAATGACAAGGACAGTAGCTACAGGAACCTGGGGGCGGGCGGGGGGACAGCCATACCTGTATTTCTCTGTCAGTCCTGATACGCACATGGAAAGTATCACTCTTAGGGCGCAGTCAAACCAGATCAGGGTTTGGGCACAACCGGGACTCTGCCCACTGTGGGATGAGGGATCAGTCTGTTGACCGCAGGAGTCCTGAGTTCCTGTCGCCCATGGCCAACACCATACTCCCCCCTCCCCCCACCCCCGCTCTCTTCCTGATTCCTAGGTCCGCTTGCACCGGGCCTGGCTGGAACCCGAGGGGCTCGGCCCTTGCCGCGCCTCTGCCCGCAGCTCACCTGTCCTGTCTCTGAACTCCACCCGGAAGGTGCCCGGGGCGCCGGGGCCCACCGCGCGCACGGTGCACTCGCCGCCCTCCGAGGCCCGGCTCTGGAAGTATATCTCCAGCTTCCTGTGCGCCGAGGGGACGGACTCGGCCAGCCGCACGAGGAGCGGGGACGGCGGGCTGGGGCTGGAGGCCATGGCTGTCGGCGTCTGGCTGGGCTGGGTGGCTGGCGGCTCGGGGACGCGGCTGGGCCAGGTCCCGGCAAAGGCGAAGGCGCGACCCGCCCTGCGAGTGGGGCAGCAAAGTTTCAGTTTCGCTTCTCTGGAGGGCCCTCCCTGTTCCCGGCAGACCCGCCTCCCCCTCTCCGGGCTGTCTCTCTGCGGCCATCGTCCGGGTGAGTTGGTCCCGTCCCCTGGTCCTCTGGTCCCCTGGGTGGTGGGCGCTGGAGGAGGAGGCTCCCTTTGTCTCCTGGGGTCCCCTCCTGCAGGCTCGGCCGGGCGGGAGGGGGGTGGGCGGTGGTGGACAGGGACCCAGGTCCCAGGGCCAGGCGTCCCATGTGAGGTTGTAGGCGAGGCAGGGAAAGTTTCCCTTGTGTTTCTGTTCTTTGAAACTATTGCTGCTACTGTTTATCACTAAGATGTAATTGACATTTAGAATTCAGGTTAAATTTACCCGATTTTTAAAAATTGAGTTTATTTGTCTGAATTGTGACCTGTTTGTTACCTGTTCCCTCCCTGAAAGTCGACCCATTTTATTGGCATCTGGGCTTTTCTGCCCTCATTCCTTAAGTTGACCAAAAGCACAGAACTGCTCTCTGTCCTGAGCCCTGGGGAATAAAGATGAGAGACGCCCTGACCTCAAAGAGGGGCGGGCCTGTGAACAAGGAAGCAAAATCTCTTGAGCCCCCCCACCCCCCTCATAAGAACTCTCAGGCAGAATCTTCAGTGTCTGGGGCCGGATGGGGACAAACAGGGCTAGGAAGCATCTGGGGCTAGGAGGACTGTAGTCTGAGGTACAGAGGACCTTTGGCCTAGGAGGAGTTGAGAAAGACCAGGGAGATGAAAGGGGGAGGGCCTGTTCAATGGACGGTACTGTCCAATGGCAAAGATAATAGGAACCACATGTATTTTTAAATTCCTAGCCGTATTTTAATTGGTGTAAAGAAACAAGTGAAATTAATTTTACTGGCGTTATTTAACTCAGTATCGCTCAACTTTAATCATTTCAGCGTGTAATGGGACAGCTGGCATTTTTTTTTGTCGTGCCATCCACTGTTTTTCCTGTACTTTTTACCTCACATCTCATTTCACACTAACCACATGCCCAATGCTCAATGGCTAAATGTGCCCAAAGGCCTTCCTTGGACAGCAAGGAAGGGTCTAGATGGGTCATGAAGATCCAGTGGGCAGAAATGGAAAGGCTGGAAGCAAGGGAAGCAGGAGGGTGATCAACAGGTGTGCATTTTAAAAAGATGAGGCTGCCAACTATGTAGAGGACACATTTCCAAGCAGAAATAAGTGGAGGCAGAAAGAGGCCAGAGGTAAGGTCTCTGCACCTGGCTGATAGGACTTGAAATGGGTCAGTCTCTCTGCACAGCAATTTGGCATTACTATCAGGGTTGCAACTGCATTTATTTTGTTGTTCCGTGATTCCATGTCTAGGAATTTGTCCTATTGATGTTAGATCTTGAGTAAAGCGACTGATGTACAAAGTTGTTCTTTGTAGCTTTGTTTATAATAGCTTAAGATGAGAACTCTTCAATGTCCATAAATAGGGGACACAACAATTAAATAATGGATAGTGTATCTATACAATTGAATCCAATGAGAAGTGAAAAAATAAGAATAATCCCAATATGCTAACATGGGCAAAGCTGTAGGTACATTAAGCAGGAAAGAGAAAATGCAGAAGAGCCTGTGTAAGATGCTGCCTTTTTTGTAGAGATACTCTAGAAGGAAACAGGAGATAGTTTAGTGAGGGAGGTAGGAAGAGACTTTTTACACTTTATAAATTTGAACAATGTAATACCTATTCAAACAATCAAATGTAAAATCAGATATTATGTTTAAGTCTTTGGAAAGAATGTATTGCCATAGCTCAGGCAAGAGGTTGTTGAGGCCCTGAAGTGCAGCAATGTCAGGGGGCAATTAGGGTAGGGGCATATTTGAGAGTGACTTAGGTGAGTTGAGTATGGTGGCTGTAATCCTAGCTGTTTGAGAGGTGGAAGCAGGAATTGGAGGCTAGCCTGGGCAAGTCCCTGAGTACAGTTCCAATGACACACACACACACACACACACACACACACACACACACACACACACGACTTAGGTGGTCAGGGCCCAGAAGGTTAGGTACAGGACAAAAGAGAAGACTTAAGGATAATTCTTAGGTTTCTGATTTGAGTGGACAATCGAATCGATATATCATTTACTGAGATGTGGAATCCAGGATCTAAAGCATGGATTTGATGAGAATAGGATGGGAACAAGGAGATTGGGGACTGGTTTTACAGGGGCTATATTTGAGGAGATTGTGAGACACCCAGGTGGAGTTGAAAAGTGAGGCTCAGGAGAACCATAGCCTAGAAATACATACATGAAGGTCATATTTGCAGTTGGTGAGTTGAAGCCCAGTAGTGAATGAGATTATACCTGAAGAATATGTAGAATGAGATGAGAAGTGTCTATCAGGCAGAATCCTAGGACAAATGATTAAGGGGTAGAAGGTAGAAGCAAATTCAAAGAAAAGATCTGTAAAGGAAAAGTGAGAGATAACAAAAGAATCAAGAGAAGATGGCATAAGAGAAGCTAAGAAGGCAGAGTTTGTGGACTCAAATAATGAAATACTATAGAAAGGAATCAAGCAAAGATTAGAGTAGAAGCTAGTCCTGTGGAGTTAACCACATGGAGGACACTGATAGTTGCAGAGGAGCAGCAGGAAGCTGGATATAATAGCACATGCCTGTAATACTAGCACTTGGAAAACTGAGGCAGAAGAATTGTGAGTTCAAAGCCAGCCTCGCCTACATCGTGAGTTCAAGGTGAGCCTGGGCCACCTTGAATATGAATAATGAGACCCTTTCTCCAAAAACAGAGGAGCAGCGGGGATGAGGTAGGGAGCTATACACTACGGGAGACTGCGGGCAGGTGGCTAGGAGGAAAGTCAACTACTTTTTCCAGAAAATTGGTTGCCTGTGAAGAGATGGAAACGCAGTAGCAACCAGTAGTGGAAAGTTGGGGAGGCTTTTGTAATTATTTTTAAAAATAGAACAGATTGAATGTTTTAGGCAATATGCTTTGTTGTTTCTCATTTCTTTGGGTTTAAATAGATGCTACCTCTCCAACCAAGTCTATCCTTAGGCCTTTAAGGCCTTGATTAAAGAAAAGCACAACATCTATAGCAAAACCCAACACCAGCCCACAACAGACCAGAAATCTTCCTTCTTTTTGCAAACAGCAGTGCCCTCTAGAGGCACAAATGCATCTTGTCTTTGCATTTTAAGCTTGTATTGGACTTAATCCTTAAGGCATAGGATGTACAAAATTTCTGATGTACAAAATTTTTCTACTGCAAAGACATTATAAATCACATCAGAGACTTAAAGGTAGCAACAAATGTGCACAATGGTATCTTTCACATTTTCATCATCATTTTTATAACAATTCATAACCTTTAATTCCTAACTATTTGGTGGAAAATAATGAAAATGTAATTATGCCCGGAGTTTCTGAATTTTATCCTGATATCCCCTATCTAATCAGGCCAAAGTTGTTGTTGTTTTTTTTTTCTATCATGAACTTAGAATACACACCACACACAGGCACAATTAGAGTTTCCTCTTTCTTCAAACACTCTCCTGGGGTCTTTACTCACTAGTAATGCTGTTGTTTGAATTCTGTGCCCAGTCTCACCACTTTATTATCATGTTTGTCTTCTAATACATAAAATCTGCTCCATCCTTCAAGGCCTGGCTCCAGTCTCACCTCCATAAAGGTTTCCCTGTTCTAGCTCCTAAAGCTTTTACCCTTCTCTGACCTGTCACTATATCTTCAATTGGAACCTCTCTTGGAAAAGACAGAAGGTAAAAAATAACAACGGCAAAACAATATATGTATCCTCACCAATGAAATGCAAAAGAACTCAAGATTAGAAGTTGTCTCCAGTCCTTCTGTGGTATATTCTGACCAAATTCCCTCAGTTTATGGTCTATTTCTGTTTTTTTTTTTTTTTCTAGAAGTAGGCCACCATATCTGGGAGCTTCAGCTTACGCTTGGAAACGCAAAAGAGGATATAAACATTTAAAGACCCACTGAGGACCTGGAAGATGGCCTTTTCCATGGTAAAAATAAATAGCTACACATCATAAACCTTGATCAGTATGTGAAGAATTCTCCCTATAACAGCAAAAAGTTCAGGGTCTTCAGTTATACCTAATGTCTTCATAAGTGCTTTTTAAAAAAAAAATTTTTGTTTTGGGAGGCACTGAGGTTTGGGCTCAGGGCCTCACACTTGGCATTTTATCACCTGAGCCACGACCCAGCCATTTTTGCTTTAGTTATTTTTCAGGTAGGGTCTTGGGTTTTTTTGGCCAGGGCTGGTTGGCCTGGACTGCAATCCTCCTACTTAGGCTTCCTGAGTAGCCACACACCCAGCTTTTTCATTCAGATGAGTTTTACTAACTTTATGCCTGGGCTGGCTTTGAATGGTAACCGTAATCCGCCCAATCTTCATTTCCTGAGTGGCTGGGATTACAGGAGTGAGTCAACATGCCCCATACTCATGTTTGTTGAGGGGGAGGGGCGGCAGCTGGGGTTTGAACGTAGGTCTTTGTGCTTGTTAGACAGGTGCTCTACCACACCTCCAGCCCACTCATATGGTTTTAGTTGCCCAATAAAAGTTTTCTCTTTGCACCATGTGGAAAATGGGGAATCAAGAATATGCTAATCTATGCCTGCCTAACATGTGCGAGGCCTTGGGTAATCCCTAGTAACACACACGCACACGCATACGCACATGCACATGCTAATCTAATCAACAGTCAACTCAAGGATGCGTGCTCTTTAAAAATGTCATCTTCCTATCATTTGGATATTCTTCATTCATTTAGTAATTCTTTTTCAGGATAGAGTAAGGAGGTTAATGGAAGAGGAATGAAAAGGAAATAAAGAAAGCCACTTCATTTGCTAAAGCTAAAATTCCTCATTAAGGCTTGTGTCATGAAATAGACAATTGAAAGTGGGTCTTAGTGGTGGGGGGAGGAGTAGCTGATGAGGCTTATGTCTTCATGTTTTCTAGTCTGACAAGGGAGACCCCAGACACTTTGGAAATTGGAGCGTTGGGTCATTTGGTCTGTGACTTTTGGGCCTTTTCAAGTGTTAATCCCCAACCTTCATCTGATTCATTCTGAATCAGAAGTGCATTGACCTCTAAAGAAGTGGGACAGGGTCACTGTCTAATGGAACATTTAGTATTTTGTGTCTTTCAGGCACACAGATAAAATCAAGAAACAAAACAAAACAAAACCCTCACTGTTCCCCTCCTCTGAAACCCAGTGCTTTGAGCAGAGTTTCTGTTGCTTTGTGTTTATTTCATTGTGTTTGTTACAGTAGTTAGTAATTCAGCTTCAGTTTTTAAAAAGCCATTCTCATTTTTCACAGGGTGCTGGAGCAGCAGCTTCCAATGACAGATCAGGTAGGAGCCTCTCACTCTCACTCTTATTTCAGAAAGACTTTGCTCAGATCTTTCCACAGTGGAGAAAAGGGGATACGGAAGGAGACTCTCCTACAAGTGCTCAGGTACATGACTGTAGGCCCTGTGGAGACCTGAGCACACACTTCAGAAGGTGGCGTGGCACCAGAAGACATGTTCTTTCCTTTGATCCTTTCCTTTCTGTCCACAGATAAGAGACTCTTCTGACAATAGCCCTGCAATCAAAATTGGCCAGAGGGGGTGACTGATTGTCGCCTTGATCAACAAAGGCTGAAGGAGCCAGATGCTGCCTGCCCAATTCTGGGGGTGGCTCGTTTGAGATTTCCGATCAAAACTCCAGCCAGTTGGGCCCAACCACTCCTTTACTGTGTCTTTTGAGTAACTGAGGCCACCAGAGGTCTTTCTAGGGGGCTTAGAAATGGAGTTGAAATAATATATAATTTCTATATTTTTATCTATTTTAGGATGCACATTTTTTCATATTTTAACATCTCTGAAATAAGGCCAGCACAGTTTCATTGACATCATTTTTCCTTTCTCAGAGGATATAATAACAATCTCTCAGACTTCATGAACTACAGTGTGGCAAGTTGGGTTTTCTAGGAAGTAGAGTTGGAAGTGAATTTAAGAGTGCAAAAGTATCATCATGGCAGGTGGTGCCACTGGATTGTAATGAAAACCTGCCAGTCTCTAGCAGCCTGAGATTGCCTGTTAGAGGTGTTCCGTGCTAGGCATACATGGCTTTGCTTAGCCCTTGATGGGGGCTGCCTTGGGAATAGCTGGACTTTGGCTAAATACCTGAGATGAATCCTGGAGGGGCTAATAGCTGTGGCTGTGGGTTAACCATATTCCCCACTTCTTAACCTAATCAAAGAATCATCTGAGCAGGACATCTTCTTGTCTGCCACTTAAAGTAAATACTTTTTGATCAGTTAGTTTTAATCCCATATTATTTTTAATCCTGCCATGGAATTTAAGTGATAATGAAGAATTATTTACTGTAGCAGACTTTTTCAGTGCTCCACCCATTTTTTGACTTGATGTCCCCCCTCTGCTTCCCTCACCAAGGAACAACTTTGACCAATGACCCATAGAAGTCAGATAGATGTCTCAGCTCCAGTAATTACCCCTCTAGGAGTATAACACTGAAACACTTGGTCTATACTGTCCACCAGTGGAGTTAAGCTTCACACTTTATTCATTTTTCTTCCCTCTGTCGTAGTTTGCCCTCCTTAACCAAAACACCTGGTGTTTTTTTAGGATCACCTTCCAAATAAACTTCTTACACTCAAATTCTTGTCTCAAGGTCTGCTTCTAAGAGAACCCAAACTAAGACACTGAAAAAAGCTAAAAAGTTATGAATATGGCCTCCCTGTATTTCTGACTCATAATTAAGTCCTTTTTAATACATGTATTCAATGGTTGGTCACCTAGAATGTGCTTATTCTTGTGTCTTTAGTAAGTACTCCATACATATGTTTGACATGAGTCTTCCCAGACTCACTATTTTTACACACATTTAAGACATTCACAAGTTTCCATGCACACAATTTTCTCACTACCATCATTGTACATAATAGCTACCACTTATGGAGGATATCCTTGGTTTAATTGCATGTCTAGGTGTGAAGAAGAATCAGGAAGGGGGCTAGAGGAAGTACATCTCTTTTGCAAATAAGTAACTCAGTCTCCTAGTACAAAGAGGAATGACATCATTTTCAAAGGAATCTTTGCTCATTTCTTTATTATTTTATCTTCTCTCCTTTCCTAGAGACTAACTCTCTTGGAGAAAACTATAGTTGTCAAGTTGCTGTTAGTCACAATGACTTCAAAATTTTAAAAAACAATGAGCATCTGCTGTATGAAGTCCTCCAGAATAAGTTTGGCTGTAAATCAACCTTGATCTCTCCAAATCTGGAAGGAAACAGCAAGTCTCTTGCTCAGCAAGTCTTCAGAAGAAGGCTGAGCCCTGGAATAGAGTTATCTGTCTGGAAGGATGACCTCACCAAACACGCTGTTGATGCTGTGGTGAACGCAGCCAATGAAGATCTTCTACATGGGGGAGGCCTGGCTGGGGCCCTAGTGAGAGCTGGTGGCCCTGAAATCCAAGAACAGAGCAGAATGTTTATTGCCCAAGTTGGTAAAATACCAGTTGGTAATATAGCTGTCACTGGAGCAGGGACACTTCCCTGCAAAGAGATTATCCATGCTGTTGGGCCTCAGTGGGTGACAATGGATAGAGAGAGATCTATTGAGAAGCTGCAAACTGCTATCACAAATATTCTGAACTATGTTTGTGGAAATATGCACATTAAGACAGTAGCTATCCCAGCTGTGAGCTCTGGAATTTACCAATTTCCTCTGAATTTATGTACACAGACCATTTTAGAAACTATCTGCTATTATTTCCAAAAGAAGCTAATAGTCACTAATTTGAAAGAAATTCACCTGGTGAGCAATGAGGATCCTACTGTTGCTGCTTTTAAAGCTGCTTCAGAAGCCATCCTAGGGATGAATGAGCTGGGCCCCTGGAAGAGTCAAAAGACCACCTCTCCTTCAAGTATGACTCTTCAGATTGCCGAGGGCCTGACCCTGCAGATTGTCCAGGGCCACATTGAATTGCAGAAGGTAAATCTTTTTCTATTCTCTTTGCCAAGGGAGATCCTTGAATTGTTAATGACACATTAAGAGGTTTTAGAGTATATACTATGGGTTGAAGCATCTTGTGATTAAGAGTGTGGATTTCAGAGCCAGGCCATCTGGACCTGAATGCCAGCTTTGCTGCTTACTAAGTGGGTGACCTGAAGCAAGTTACTTCATCTTTCAGTCTGCAGTGTCCTTAGCTGTAAAATGAGGATAGTAATAGCACTTCTATCTTAGAGCGGGAATCAGAACCTTAAAGTAGTGCTTAAAGTAGTGCTTGGCACATTATTAGTCCGGATTTATAATTATTACTGTTGTTATTCTTAGGAATCGTGAGGAATTAGAACAATCCTTGGTCCCAAGGAAATAAAGATCTATTATATCATTCTTTTTGTTTGTTTGTTTGAAGTCTTGCATTTGATAAACAGGTGCTCTACTACTTATGCCACACCCCCAGTCCTTTTTGACTTTAGTTATTTTTCAGATAGGATCTTGTGCTTTTTGCCCAGGGTTGGCCTTGGATCTTGATCCTTCTACCAACAACTCCTGCATAGCTGGGATTACAGCTGTACATCACCATCCCTGGCTTATTGATTCAGATGGAATCTCACTACCTTTTTCCTTGTCTGTCCTTTAATAATGATCCTCCCAATATCTGCCTCCCAAGTAGCTGGGATTGCAGGCATATGCTACCATGCCCAGCCTTATTATATTCTTTTTTTTAATCTAAAAAATTCTTTATTTGGAAAATCTCATAGGGGACACCAACTACTCAGTATTTACAAAGCAAGCTATCAATAGTAAACAAAAGTAATATTTAAGAGTATGTATCTTTGTAACAAAAGGAGAGTCTGTCTAGTGAATCAACAGATTATTTCAAGAGATGTGAATTTTGAAGCTGGTCTCAAGTTGTGATGGGTATGAATTGGAAGGAAGGAAAGCTTTCTGGGTTGCTAGAGTGACTTGATCAGAGGGACACAGAGGAATTGACAGATAGAACTGATGAATTTGGCTAGAGTCATAGCAGACACAGGTGGCACTTCAAGTCATATTCTGTATTTACTCTCCACAGTCTTTGTGTAGAATGCAAGGTGTCATTTAGCATTTAGCTGGTGTTCACTGGGCACAAAGGCGAGGCCCTGGGAGGGAGAGGAGGAAGTCAGGGTAACGGTGAGCATAGGCATTTCTGGGCTAATGCTGCTCCCCTGTTAGGCAGAGAGCATTTTGAGGAGAGGATCATGGCTTTCTCATCTCTGTATCCCCAGATCTGGGCTTGTACCTAGATGTTCAGCAAATCAGTGATGGATAAGTGGAAGGGGCAGCAGGGAGCAAGGACTGCAACACAGGAAGAGAGCAAACAAACAAGAAGACTATATATATATTTTTTCCTGTCTCAGTGATGTCTTCTGTGGCCACAATCAAATAGACTTAACCATCAGTAAAAATACCACTTACTGCCTACAAGACAATTAGAAGACAGAGGAGATCCCATGAATTGAAAGTATTTGAAGGGTCATAAATGTGCCAATTGAAAATTAAAATGTAAGCTTTCTAGTTGAATAACTTACTCCTTTAACTGAAATCTTATTGTATTTGTTTATTGCTAACATCAGGAACCTTAAAAGTTTTAAAGAGTGCCAGTACTCCCAAATGGCAAATTCTGATTGCACCTTCAAAGTGAAACATTCATTAACATCTGAAAGGGATGTTAACATCCCCCAAAGGGAGCCAAAGCCATCAGGGTAACTAGGGAGATTTGGGCACAGGTGAAGGATATAACCTCCTTTAGCACAGCTCTGAGAGCTAAGATATGATATTATTCATAGCACAACCCATGTATGTATAGTCTGTTTCCAAAAAGATAGACAAAGAACTGGAAAAAGCGTTTCTCTGTAGGATGAGTGGGTGAGTGGAGCTGGGGAACTTAGCAAGAGGCAAGTCTACCTTTCAGAAAGACCTTTTGCCTTATTTGGACTTCCTTTAACATGCACTACTTACATAAAACATAACAATAAGCTGGGAGTGGCGTGCATGCCTGTAACCTCAGTACTGGACAGGCAACAGCAGGAGGATTAGGGGGACTATGAGTTTGAGGTGCCCAGGCTACATAGTAAGTTCCAGGCCCACCTGGGCAATAGCAAAACTCTATCTCAAAAAATAAACATTAGGTGGTAGAAATTTCTTAAGAAATCTAATTTCCTCTCTGTTTAAAGCAAAACAAAACAACCCACACATAAATTACAAAAAGTGATGGTGGTATGGCAGAGAATGAAGCCATGTATTGACATGGCTTTTTTTTTTTTTTTTTTTTTTAATAATGGGCTGGAGTTTTGGTCAGTTGTAGTGTACTTGCTTAGCATGTGAGGATCTAAGTTTGATCTCCAGCAGGGTCAAAAAAAAAAAAATCCGTTACCCAGTGTGGTGGTACATCCCTGTAATCACAGCACTTGGGACACTGAGGCAAGAGGATTGAGAATTCAATGCCAATCTGGACTCAATGGTGTCAAAAAGAAAAAAAAAACCACAAGGAGTGGTCAGGATCTAGAAATATAAGAGGTGTAGTCTAGCAAGGGCTGAAGGATATTTGCAATAGAAGCAATATTACCCATTATTTATATAATTCCTAAATAGAACAAACAGCTTCATGGCAACCAAATGATCACTCTATGGAAATTTGAGTCTCTAACTATTATTAAATGAATTTTTGTGGGTTTGGGATCTTGAGAGGGTATTTTCAAATCTCCCTAGGGAAATAAAGATTTAAACAAGTTGTTTAAGAAGGAGGAATTTAACAATGAATCTGTGCTTTCTTTTTCAGACAGACGTAATTGTCAATTCTGTATTCCTCTCCCATCTTAAAAGAGGACCTCTGTCAAAAGCAATTCTGCAACAAGCAGGACATGAGATGGAAAGGGAACTTACTGACAGAAAGGCTAAACTGATGTCAAATCCTCAGTTGGTGCTGGTTACAAAAGGATATAAATTGTCCTGTCAGTATGTGTACCATGTACTATGGGATCTAAGTTACAATAGTCATTTGGTAAGTTCAAAGTAAGTTTACCTCTAGCTCCATGGTCTAACCAGTCTGTTCAATTTCCATCATTTCAAAACATTTGTAAAATACTGTCAAGTGGTATAGCCCCCAACCATTTTCATGAGTATCTGAAATGCTAAACGAATATAGTTGCCACAAATTCTCTTAAGAAGTTTAATTGGGTATATGCTCAGAAGTGGTATCACTGGATCATATGGCAGTTCTATTTTTAGTTTTTTAAGGAATCTCCACACTGCATTCCATAATGATTGTACTAATTTATATTCACAACAACAGTGTATAAGGATTCCTGTCTTGTCCAATTCTGGCCAACATTTGTTGTTATTTTTGTTCTTGAATATAGCCATTCTAATTGGGGTGAGATGAAATCTTAGTTTTGATTTGCATTTCTTTTAAGGCCAGGGAAGTTGAACACTTCTTCATGTATTTATTGACTATTTCTATCACTTCCTTTGAAAATTCCCTATTTAATTCATGTGCCCATTTCTTCATTGGGTTGTTGATTCCTAGGAAATAGGATAATGAAACCTCTTGTAATTGCTTCAAGTTGGATGGGGAGGGGGTGGGAGATGGAGGGGATGAGCTAACCAATATACAATATAAGGCTATTCAGAATTGTCACAACAAATCCCCCCTGTACAACGAATATGTGCTAATAAAAATGGAGAAAAAAAAAAACCAAAATGTTTAAATCGGAGAAGAAGAAGAAGAAGAAAAAGTAGTAGTAGTAGTAGTAGTAGTTTAATTGGAAATGTTACCTAATCCCTATCTAAATTTTAAGTGAGCATACTGCTCAGGAACACTGAAACAGCAGTGTTGAGACAATGTCTGGATGAAGGTATAACTTCCATTTCCTTTCCTGCCCTTGGCACTGGAAACATTGGTGTGGAGAAGAGTGTAGCAGCACACATTATGTTTGATCAAGTTATAGCATTTGCCAAAGACCAGTCTACTCACTGGTTCACTTCACCACACCCAGTGACCTGGTGAGTGAGCAAGAGATTCAGTCTCTCTGTACCTCCCTCCATGTGTTAAATTCCAGGGGGATCTGGGATTTCCCTTGCAGCACCATTCCAGTTAAATCTGCTACCTATGTTCTCTTCCCAATGGGCCTAATAGTGGATATTGGTCCTCTAGCCAACTACTCACCTGAGGCACATAAAATACTGTTAAGCATTAAAGAAGCTGGGCACTGGTAGCTCATACCTGTAATCCTAGCTACTTGGAAATCTGAGATTGGAAAGATTGCAACTTTAGACCCCCCATCTCAACTAGTAGCTGAGCATGGTGGTGCATGCCTGTCATCCCAGTGACAGTGGGAAATTTAAAATAGGAGAATTGCGGTCCAGGCCAGCTTGAGCAAAAGACAAGACACTATTTCCAGGATAACCAGAGCCATGGAGACAAACACAAAGCCCTGAGTGTGAAGCACTGAGTTCAAACCCCACTACCACTAAAAAAAGAGAAAAACTCAGTCCTCTGTGACTTTTTTCCTATACCATGTCTTGTCTTCTCTTGCCTAGAGAGCTCTCTAATCCCAGATTGGTCCTCTAATCTCTTCCTGCAGCTTTCCAAGGTTCTTTTCACAGACAACCTTCCTATAGTAATAATTCAATGCAATGTTGAAAAATTGATGGAAATTTAAATCTGTCCAAAACTTTAGCACTTCTCTAGGAGAAATCACATAGTAGATCTTAGTGATATTGAAAAATGCTGATTTCTTAGTCTCCCTCTCCTTTATTAAACTGCCAACAGCTCTTTTCATTGACTTGGAAGTGACAGATGAACAGAACAAACTGATGCTTGGCTGTCTGACCTGGGGATGTGGCTAGGCTATACAAGCCAGGAGAGATTACAGTGCCCACATATCCTAAGTAGTACACAGTGAGCCACTCAGTTGCTTCAATTTCACAGTCCTTACATTTTTCATCCTTCATCTTTATAGCTATAGTGGGTTCCCTATGGAGTAGGCTCTCTTCTATCCTCTGAGGAGGCATGGCATGACCCTGAGTGGTGACTGGCATTATAAATTGTGAACTGAAACAAGGGGTAAGTGAAATCTTATTTTTGACTCAAAGGCTGATCCTAAATTTGTGTTTCTCTTACAGACATTGGCAACTGCAATGCAGGAATGTTTGAGACAATGTCTGGATGAAGGTATAACTTCCATTTCCTTTCCTGCCCTTGGCACTGGAAACATTGGTGTGGAGAAGAGTATAGCAGCACACATTATGTTTGATCAAGTTATAGCATTTGCCAAAGACCATGCGAAAAAACAACTAGCTGTGAAGTTTGTGATCTTTCCTGAAGACCTAGAGACATATAAGGTGAGTCAGTATCTCAGAAATGTTCTACAGTTCATTTATGCATTCAACATCTGTTTAGTGTCTCCAATTTTAGACACAGGGTTAGCTATGACACTGTGTGGTGGTGTTCTAATTTGGTGAAATTTAACTTCTGTAGGTTGCCTACCTCTGACCTAATAACAAATGTCATGATAGAATCCATGTTTACTCCAATACTTAGTCTTCCTCTTTCCTTTTGTTGGCATTTATATTCTTTCTGCTCCTTAAAGATAAGCAACCTCCTTTCCTGCTCTTTTCTCTCTCCCTCCAAGAACTCAACTGTTCTTCGAATTTTTTTTTTCACACTGGGGTTTGAACTCAGGGACTCATTGCTAGGCAGGCACTCTACCATTTAATCCATGCCTCCGGTCCCTTTTACTTTAGTTATTTTTTCCATTCGGGACTTGAGTTTTTACCTGGGCTGGACTGGACTACAATCCTTCTATTTATGCCTCCTGTGTAGCCGGGATGACAGGCATGCAACACCATGCCTAGCTTACTTGTTGAGATGGGGGGGCAGTTCACTAACATTATGCTAGGGCTGGCCTTGAACTTCAGGCCTCCTATTCTCTGCCTTCTGAATAGCTGGGATTATAGACATGAGCTACCAGACCTATACCTGCACCTGGCAGTCTTTGGACTTCTAACATTACCTCTGCAAAGTCCTGTCTTCTGAGTTAAGTTTAGACCCACGACTCCAATCCTCATTCATTTCTATGTGAATATTTGTCCTCTGAAATCCACTATAATTAAACCAAATTCTTTGTCGTCTCCTCTCCAATCGATCAATTTCTCCTCCAAAATTCCCATCAAGTTCTGCTTTGCCTGTTGCTGATTGTGTGACCTTGGGCCGGTTATTATCCTTATCTGTGCATCAGTTTCCTTATCTTTCAATGAAAATAATAATCATCACATTATGGAGCTGTTATAAGGATCAAACAAATTAATACATGCAAAACAAGTAGAATAGTACCTGGCATACAGTACACCCTCCATGAAGGTTAGCTGTTTGATGAATTGTAGTTCATTGAGATGAATTATTGCTAAATTAATTAAGTTGTTTATCTTTCTTTCCCACTGGATTATAAATTTGTTAACAGCATCAGTGTTTCTGGTTAGTTTTGGTGTATCTCCAGCACTGCCCTCAAAGTCAGTCTGTTCTTAATTTATTTGTAAGTAACTCAGCAGAAAGTCAGTTGTGGTTTAACATAAGCAGAGGAGCATGTGTGAAGGTAAGTGTGTGTCTTATATGTGAATACAGAGATCTGTGTGTCCATCTCCTTTAGTTTCACCTCATCTCAGCTTTTTGTTTTAGCATAGCTACCTAGAGTTTTGTGTTAAGTACCTGATACATACAGCAAAATTAGTATATTTTGCTGTGCTGTTTTGCCTTTAAAATACCAACTGTCTCTTTGCTTTATTTTTGCTTAGTTGGAATTTTCATAAAAGACTTTAATGATATGGGTATAAGAATACAAAGGAAATAAAATTAGATACAGCAACTTAAATAGGTTTTGAAGACATCAATTGTGGATTCTGCCAATAGCAGCATTTAAGTGCTAGTGAGACTTCCTAGGCGTGTGCCTGAGTTTGGGGTATTAAAGGGCCTTCCTGAAGAACGCTGCATCTATACATATGAAGACAGCGTACTGAAATCCATCAAACCCTGAAAGATGGAGGAAGAGGGAGAGCAAGAATGAGATATAACAGAGGGGGTGAACTTGTTCAAGGTATACTGTATGCATGTATGGAATTATCACAATGAAATTTTTCATATTATTAATGTAGGATAAATTTTTAAAAGCTATGAAAAAGAGAAAGATGTTATGATTTTAAAAAAGAAATGGAGAGAGAGAGAAGGAAAGAAAGAAAGAAAAAGAGAAAGAAAGGACCTTCCTTGCTCAGCACCTGGCAGAGAGTGGCTCCAAGCATTAGCTCTCTTGTTGCTGCTTCTCTTCCTACTTCCTGGCCTGTTCGTGTACATGGTACCCATTTTTATCTCTCCCTACAAGGAATTGAATGCATACTTGTTCCAGCTTGCTCTTTTTCCTGGAGCAAATGTAGAGGATCTTGCTACTTCTGCTGCCCGACCAGGCAAGGAGATTTGTAGCATTTGCTGATTTCCATGGCTGGTTTTAAAGTATCAGTGTGATATCACTACAGGTGGGGTTGGAAGGGTTGGTCACAGCAGGCTCTTGTGAGCCAGTGGAGGCCAGCTCTAGTACACTGTGTCTCCACCAGAGCTCAGTGGCAGGAGTGGTATTGACCCAATGAAGTAGCTCACTGTCTTGGCAAAATGAATCATCTTCCAGATGAAGTTCATCATTTTCCCTAAGCAGAGGACTATCGCCAGGCCCTGACAGGTACTCTGAGCCCTTTCTTGAACTGTACATGGAACACCATATTGTTAAAAGAGGCATTAACCATATCTAGAAAAGAAGGTTCACTCGCTCCAACATGCAAACAAAAACCTTCAGTGCATTTCAAGAAAAGTGGAAAGATCAAGTACAGGCTGAAGATTGTCCTAAGGGCCAATAAAAATATATCTTGTATTGCATCTGTAAGGCTGTGTGCTGAGTGGAAGCTGTCTTATTCCATTCTCCATCAATCTTGTGATGAAGCCATTGTTGGCATATCATTTCACAAATGCAAAACATAGCCCAGAAGTTAATATGCACACAGCTAATCAAAGGGCTAAGCCAATCTGGGTCTGTTTGCTTGCCTACAAAGCCTGTGTTCTGAAGCACTAACCAAAAACACAGATAAAATAATGAGAAATGATATATCTTTCAGGTTTGTAGCTCAAAAGAGAGTATTATTTTTTCCTAGTAATTTACATCATACAGTGAACATTGATCCCTCATTTAGCTTTTATTAACATTGACATAGAGGTATGAACTGTGTACACATATGTATATATACCTTATAAGCATGTGTTCCTAAGTAAGTCTTAAAATGAGAGTTGTGTGTACAAAAAGATCAGAGGGCAGTTTATAAGGTCATCACAGAGTATGTTAACAAGATTACTACATTCCAGAAAATCAATTTGTCAGACACCAAGAGTTGACCTGACTCAGCAATACCAATCTGCACTTAGCTTATGATAAAGTGATATTTTCATATTTTCCAATTCAGAATTGAAGTGAATAAATAATTCCTTGGAGGACTGAAATATTTGTGTTTACTAGTACTTTATGATGGTAAGGGTCTTGGGTAGAGCCGTGTATCTACACAAGGCAGTGGATGGATAGGTATTTTTTTCATATCTACCTTGCACCAGACAATGTCTTAGAATAAGGAACCCTTTTTCAGAGCACATTAATGACATCTCTTAGATCAGGTGTCAGTCACTAGCAGACAGAGCTGGACAAATACTGCCAAATTCTTGACATTTAGCTCTATTTTTCCGAGCTCTTTGCAGACTGTCTCCTTGTTATCCACACATTCTTTCTTCAGCATTGTATTTTGTCTTGAAATATACATTCTTCTTTTTTTATACCAAATTTTGGTTTTTTTTCCATTTTTTTCTGTACATGTTTTTTAGATATTCTAATAGATTGTGGTGTTGCACTTGCTGTTCCTTACGACTTTTCCAGAGCCTGTTTTAGATTGGTGGCAGAGGGAGCAGGGACTAACAAAGCCAGTGCAGTCAAGTGTGGTGAGTACAGGTAGAGATAGAATTTGGTGACAATGCTATTTGTCCTGCTTATGGCTGTATGCTCTGTTTTGCTTATTGTAGGCTTTCTCTGCTGAAATGACAAAGAAGTCTAAGATACTGACTTTCAACAGTAATGGTGGTAAGTAAATAATTCAAGGGTCTAGAAGTAAAGTCTTCCACCATAGGCTCATTCTGTTCTCAATTACCTGAACTAATGAAGGAGAGAACAAGCCAAACATAATTCGTTGTGCTCCTGCTAGGATATCAACCTGCTTTATAAGTGGTTCTACCTGTGACTAGTCTAATTTCGTGATATCAACAGAGAGAAGCTAAGTTGCAATAGATAATCCATAGTGTGGATTGCTTATTCACAAAAAGGTGTCTGTAATTTTTTGTTAGGAAATTCTGCACCATGTATGGTAGTGCACACCTGTAAACCCACCACTTTGAAGGCAGAGGCAGGAGGGTTGTGAATTTGAGGTCAGCCTGGGTTACATAGTGAGACCCTGTCTCAAAAAAACAAAAAAGAAAGCTAAAAACATAAATTCTGCCATCCACAAGCTGCTTAAGCTAGTCACAGCTTCTGCTCCAAATATTAAATGGAATTATTTATAATTACAAAAAACTTGCCTCAGTAATAACAGACAACTGGATTAACCCAATGCTACCCATACCTGAGTAATCACTGGACTCATAACTGGAATCATGATGAGAACTTTCAAAAGTGCACTTATGCACACTCGTATACCCCCAAACACTATAGATTCTGATTTAGGAACTCTGGTTCTAAGCCAAGCATGTCTCTTTTTGAAATCTCCCTAGTCAGTTTTGCAGCTGAGCTAAGTTTGGAATCCCTAGGTTAAACCATGCCTGGCTGTTGAGGACCAATGAAAGAATAGCTCTGTCACATCACTTCATTCCTTTAGTAGAATTGGAATGGACTGAGATGGAATGTTCAGTGTCTCAGTGGTACTGGAAGTGAAGAAGAGAGAACTTTAAAAGTTCTGTGCCTCTTAGGAGTCTGCTTTAGAATTATGATAATAACCAACTACTGTGAGGCTATTTGGAGGTTGTGGATGTAAAGATGTTCTGTTAATTATAAAGCATTAAACAAATGCCAGGTGCAAATAATGAATGAGAAGATGGACAAACTCCTCAGGTAGCCCAGAAAGGGAACAATTCCTTTTGATTGGGAGGGATCAAGAATGGCTTCATGGATGAGAATAGTTCTAAGTTGGGCTTTACGATGGCAACATTTTCAGTGACCAGTGGGGGAGAAGATGGCACCTAAGGTGAAGAAAACCAACAGAAGCAAACAAATGCAGTTCATGTTTGGGGAACCTAAGGAATACAGGATAGTGAGATAAGAGGAGGAGTTTTAGTGAGGCTAATATAGAAAAGGAACATACAAAAGCCTATACATCATCTGAAACAGAGGCAAGGGTCCCGTTTATTTCAGTAATTTTTGGCAATATCTGTGAAAGAATTAGCTAGCACAGAACTATAGTTGACAGCCATAATGACTGATGAATAATAATTGTCTCAGATTATCAAGGAAAGGTTAAATTAGTTAGGAAGGTAGAAATACGTTTTTGTTAGAAATGCTTAACTAATAGTTAAAATTAAATGTATTTTGATGTTTAGAAGAGTATTCTTTAGTGATATGAACAATTTAGTTATCTAGAAGAACAATCCTCTTCTAACAATGACAGATTGATGCACTATTTTTATTTTCTCTTAAAGAGAAGAGCTTCCAGGAAAGGGATTATAAAGTCTTTATTTTCTCCTAATAAGTAATATAAGCTCCCAATATTCATATAAGGATGGAAAATACAAAATAGGGCTGGCAGAGTGGCTCAAGTGGTAGGGCACCTGCTTAAGCAATCATAAGGCCCTAAATTCAAGCCCCAGTACCACCAAGAAAAAAAATGATAAAAAAAAAACATAAAATGTATGCCTCTAATCAAAATACCCTTGTCATTTCTTAATGTTGTCTAGAACATCAGCTTTATTTTTACGCAGAGGGAAGTCTTCCTCCCCCACTCACTTCTAATTTGGTTCTAGTGCTTTTTCATAGTTTCTGGCACCACTCAGCTACAATATCAGCGCTAATTACCCTACTTCCTGGGATCACTACTGGCAGGCAGAATTGTATGAGCACTGGGGTCAGATGCCCACATTTACTAGCTTCATGGTCATCACTGATGAGTCCTATAACCATGGGCAAGTTACTTAATGACTATCTGAGTCATTAACTGACCTCACTCATTTGTAAGATGGAATTATTAATAGTATCTATCTCATAGGGTTTCAGAATTGAGTAAAATAAACCCTTGGAACAATGACTAGAACAAATTTTTCTCCTCAAAATCTGTCTCTTAGATTCTTCCCTGCAAAGCTAATTTCTTTTCATTACTGTAATTATATTCCATTGTTGAAGGACATTGGATTATTTTCTTTTTTTTTTTGCTGTTGCCAATCTGTGAACTTTCTTAAACATGCCTCTTGCTGTACAGTGCAAAAGTTTCTTCAAATAATATGAGTGGTTGTGTTCTGGTTTTATATGTGTCATGAATATATAGGCGTTACAGTTGCTCTATATCCTTCTCAACACTTGATATTGTCAGACTTATGAAGTTTTGCCAGTCTGGTGGGTGATTCTTCTTTTCCCTGATTGTAATCAAGATAAGCATCTTTTCACATAGATGAGGGTTATTTGTTTCCTTCTTTTGAAATTTTTTTGCCCAATAAGCTACTGGTTCTTCCTTTTCTTAATGATTTGAGGAGATTTTTTATCTGTTCTAGATAGTGCATTGTCTATTAATTCTCTCTAAACTAGTCCATTGGTTTTTTTTCCAACTTGAATTTCAGAGACACCTCAATTTATCAGCAAGTCTTTTCTACTTCTTGAGGAAGTACAGATGGGTGGGTAGAATCCAGTCCTCTTCCTTTTCTGCTAGGATACAGCGTGTCCAGTACCAGTAGCAGCAGCTAAGCTTAAATGCTTACTGCGGAGATGGAAAAGAGTGCCACCAGCCCTACCCCTTAGATAGCAGGAGGTCCTGACACACACAAAGATAAGATATAGTAAACATGTATTGTTTTCACAATCACAAATTCATGTTTGGTTGTTTTTTAAGAAGTAATTTTCATTCATTGAGACTGTAGCTTTCAGAGCTATTAGATTTTAAAACCTGGTAGAAGCAAGAGGCAAATCCCACTCAGCAGGAAACAATAGTTAATATCCAGTGTGAGATCAGAACTCACCCGTGAATTGACAAATGCCAACACAGGTCAGACATGATAAAACCAACACTCTGTGAGCTAAACACTGTGCTCCGAAGGAGGCTGTAAAATACTCATTATATCCAGTGTAGCCTAAGAGATAGTTCCATAATTGGAGCTGCTACTGCTGACAATGGTAACAATGTCTTTTGGCAACACTGGCCATGGTGTTTTGCTCTGCACAATTTGAAAACCCACCATCTTTCCATGGTTGTTATGATAGATACTTCAGTTCCCCTATGGACCAGAGAGGAACAAAGAAGAAATGGACTTGAAGCTGGATCTCCTGCCATCAGTCTGATGGGATTCAACAAGGAAGCGATGTTTGAGGCTAAAGCATGGATCCAAAAGATACTGACCTCCCAGGATCACTGCACCATTGAAAATAATCATATTCTCTATCTTGGGAAAAAGGAACATGACATTTTGTCTCAGCTCCAGACAACCTCGAGAGTCTCCATCTCAGAGGTTATCAGTCCAAAAAAGGCAAATTTAGAGATTAAAGGAGCCCGGGCTGACCTCATTGATGTTGTTATGCATATTGAAAGTATGCTGTATAATGTTCAAGAAGAAGTGGCAAGAAAAAGTGAGCAAGCCCTATGGATCTTTTCTGGTGAGTAACTTCCTATTAAGTTAAAAAGTTAGCTTTCCCAATTGTTCCTTCTCTGGGGCATGAGTATGTCTGTAAATGTGTGGCTAAGAGGTAGACTGGGAGAAGAGAAAGCAAACCATTCTGATTGTGTTAGGTCATAAACTTTTATGAGCCATTTTTGGCTCTCTTTCTTCCGTCAGGGTTATTTATTAATAAATGAAAGCACGCACATATGCTCATGATTAGATTTACTTATGATGACATGGATTGCCTAAAAGACGATTGGAAAGCCTAAGCTAAGCCCAAGTCATGGGGGAAAAAATATATTCCTAATTCTGCAAATGAAGCATTCAAATTTAGATAATTCCACTTATTTATTTATTTGTTGCTGGTAGCATTAGAAGCACTGAAGTGTCTTTCCCTTTTTTTTTGTTTTATTTCTCCTTCATTTTATTTTTTTATTTTTATATATTATCCTTCGTTCCCTCCCTCCCTCCTTCCTCCTTCCCTCCCTCTTTCCTTCCTTCTTTCCTTTCTTTCTTACAGAGGGTCTGGCTATATAGCCCAAGCTAACCTTGAAACTCACAATCCTTCTGCATCAGCCTCTGAATGCTGGCATTACAGACTGTACCACCATGCCCAACCAGGAGTCTTAAAATTTCTTTCTTTGAGTCCTGCCACCAACAAAAGTGTTCATTGGCACTATGAGATACATTTAAGCATCTCCTATTCAACTCATCAGAAAAACTGGGAATTGGGACCTGAAGAGATCCCTTTAACAGAGCCCTAGAGGTAACTAGGAAATTGTACCATCTGAAATGCCAACCTGGCTGGTGGAACATGCCTGGAATCCCAGCACTCTGAAGACTGAGGCAAGAGGCTTGTGAATTTGAGGCTAGCCTAGGCTACTTAGTGAGTTCCAGGCTAGGCTGAGCTGAATAGCAAGACCCCGTCTCAAAACAACACAAATAGCAACACAAAATAAAACAATAAAATGCCACTCTGGAAGACAAAAGATTATTTCATTCATTTATTCAACTATTGTGTATTGTACTATGTTATGTGTCATGCATTGTGCTAGGTATACAAAAGGAGTATAAATTTTATCTGCTCAAAGTCTAATAGGGAATACTGACAACCAAGCTGGTGAGCTATGACAGAGAAAGGTGAAAGTACTCTTAGAGCACTGAGGAAAACACTTTATGCAGACTTGGAAGGTCAGAAGGCTTCTCATAGGAGGTGTTACAAATGGAGAACTGGATAATAAGTAGCAGTTAAACGGACAAAGAAGGAGAGTTTCAAGAAGTAATATTATAGCTAAGTCTAGATTATACAAGACTATAAATCACATGAAAATATTCAGAGTTCTCCTTAATCAAATTGGGAAACTTGAAGGATTTTAAGCAAAGATAAGATCAGATTTGTATGTTAAAAAGATCTGGTTCTAATGTGGAGAAAGTATTTAGTAAGAACTTTGATAACTCAGTGCAAAATTTCAAAGGATAACTTACTTTTACCTGCTGTCTCTAAAAATAATTCAGGAAGAGATGGTCAAAGTGAGTGTGAGTTTGCAATAAATATCATATCCATCCACAGAAAACTCAGTATTAAAAACCGTGGCTAAAAAAAATGATACCTGTTGAAACTGTTCCAGGAATCAGGGGAAGGGGAATGAAAGAGCAGTGAGAGAGTGAATTCAAGTATGATATATTTGATATACTGTAAGAACCTTTGTAAATGCTACAATGTCCCCCCACCCAGCACAACAATAAAAAATACATGGCTAAAAATAATACACAAGTATGGGAACCAAGATTATGATTTCTACTTAGTTTCTGAAACATGAAAAATGTGGATATTTAAACTGATACTATTGTCAGCTCAGGAGAACAGGAGATGTAAGGGTCATGTAAGTCCCTGTTCCCCTGCAAGATGGCATTTTTGGTAGATGACTAAGCTTATTACTTCACATAGCATTTCAGAGGTTCCTGCAAACTCATCTTCTCTAGGATTAAAATTTACATTATTAAAAAATGGACAACTTTGAAATGCTATTATATGAACATCAAATATACATCAGAACAATAAAAGTTTTTTTAAAAAAATAAGTTATACATCACTTCTCTTTTATGCTATACTTTTAATTCTTCCTGGTAAGCACTTCTGATAGAAGTTTGTGGGTCTGTGGGTCCCCAGTGCCCAGCTCAGCTGCCTGGCTTGTAGGCAGTGCTTGGTTAATGTTTCTTGAATTCAAGAACCGAATTCTAATATTGAACTTTATAAGTGTGAGCTATTGGTCTCCAAATTTAATATATATATATATTTTTTGGTGGGACTGACGTTTAAACTCAGGGCTTCATGCTTGCAAAGCAGGCACTCTATTGCTTGAGCCACACCTCCAGTTTACAAATTTAATTTACAGTCTCTTCATTTGAAGTTTTTGGGCTTTAGAGCTCCTCTTCTGTGGAGTTTTGTTCCTCTTGCTTTCTCTGATTTACAACTTGGCCCTCCAGTGAATTTTTCTGAATTTAACACCTGATCTTCATAGTTAAGTTGAGTACATTCGATTAGATAAGTGTCGTTTTAGTATACTTGTTCTTAAATGAAACTGAAATAAACCAGTTATTTTTGGCTTCCATTTGTTTACCTGTATGCTTAGTTGAGTAAGGAGTTCACTTGGACAAAAATGAGTTGTCTATTGTCTTTTAAAAAGGAAGGAGAAAATGAAAGAAGAACAAAGGAAAGGAGAAAGGAGGAAGGAAACAGGAAAATACGAAGACAAGAAAGGGAGACTTTTAATCTCTAAATTTTGCTCTTCTTGCTTGGGTGTTATGATGTTCTCAGTATTTTGCCTTGTCTGTTACAGAGAGCACCAGTGAAAGCCAGGTTTATAATCTTAGATCTTTACTTACTTGCTTTGTTTTATTGGGCTTTTATTTATAAAGTTGTGTTAATTATTTCAGTGGTGGTCTTATGATGATCAAATAAGGTAAAGAAATGAAATCTGAGAACTTTGAAGTGTCACATAAATAGCTAACTATTTTCCATCATTTGTGTTTTCTTTTTTGTTGTTGTTGTTGGGATTGGGGTTTGAACTTCAGGGCTTTGTACTTGCAAAGCAGGTACTCTACTGCTGAGTCACACCTCCGGCCCCTCATCTTTTCTTTATTCTTTCTCTTTTTGCTGATAGGATCTTAGCCAGAAATATAAATGCTTCCTATGAGCAACATAATCATTTATCACCACTACAGCATTGGTTGTGGAGGAGAAAGTATAATTAATGCTCTTTTTTTTTCTCATATTCCCTCAGCCTCATGAACCAGATCATCCAACGACAAATTTATTACACCTCTATTTTATCCTATGACTTATTGTAGTTCTTACATGTCCTGTATAATAAAAGGCATACTTTGAGCTAATCTCTTCCTCTAAATTTCTTGAATTTGTTTCATTAAATTTCTTTAAAAGCTTTTTCTTGCTCACAGAGCATTCAGATAAGGTTTTGTATTACTCATTTTTTAGGAGTATCAAGTGATCAGCAATGGAAAAAACAGGATGAAAGGGTAGAAAAGATCATATATTGTCGATATCCAGCGCCTTCATCTCAAGAGACTCAGGATCGAAAGAGACAGTTTGAAAAATGTGGTTTGCAGATTGTAAAGGTATGCCTAATTGAGGGGGGAGTCTGGCTTATGTTGTTATTGACTTGGTTCTGCAGAAAATAGAAAAGCTCACCTGCCAGTAACTGTCAGCTCAGTGACCTGGAATCCCAGGGTAAGACTGGCAGGAGGACAGGCACGAGGGGTACAGTTGGAATCAGGAGGTAGAAATAATGTCAGAACATACACAAATACAGATTCAAGACCCATTCAATATAAATGATCTGCTCATCTTTGAACAAAACAGAGAAGAAATGGAATGATATTTACCACACTGTATTATAATTGTTTACCTATTTTTACGTCTCACTAAACCATGGGCTTTAATAGGGCAGACACTATGTCTCCATTGTTGACCATTTTATTACTAGTGATTGCTCGGTAAATTTTTATTAAGTGAATTTATCAAAGAAGGAGCAGAGGATTTTGAAGAGATAAAAGTCAAATTAGGAGAGGATTATTGGCAGGAGAGAGTCTCATGCGACTTTATATGAAAAGCAAGTTGCATGCAAAATAATATGCTCTTAAGCACCTTTATTTCTGAAGCAGTGCAAGAGGCAATTTAAATAGCAATTTCCAGTCTCTTTCTCTTTTCTTCGAGTTTAGGTGGAGAATATAGACAATGTGGTACTCATGACTGCCTTCCAAAGGAAGAAGAAAATGATGGAAGTGAGAACCCAGTGCAAACCTATGAGCCGCAGGTTGTTCCAGCAAGTCCCATACCAGTTCCTTGATGTGGTGTGCAGAGTTGGCTTTCACAGATTCTACACAGCTCCCTATGGTAGGTGTCAGCCCCATCATCCTCAAGACTGCACTCAGTAGGTACTGGCAAGCAGACATCACAGATGGCTCACCACTGAAAGCATTTGTTGCTGTAGGGAAGGGATCATTTTCTTCTGGGCTTTAGAGTTGAAGTCTTTTGGAAAGGGTTGTGGTTTGATTTTTAGTTTATAGATTTTACAGTGTGAGAGTGTGAGCAGTAGGACCTGTGGTTCACGGTTTTTTCTCATGTCTGTTTCTGTGTCCTTATTTGCAGGGAGCATGCTGGAGATTTCTTTTTTTTAACTTGGCTTACCTATCTGAACAAAACTATTAATACCACTGAAGCATCTTCAGCCTTTAATTAAAATGCCATTTTTCTAAATTTAGGAAACAGTCTTTTTTCTCTTTCATCTGTTTTATTTTCCTGTAGTCTTATTAGTGAATGAATTAGGTATCTTGTGGCAGGTAAAGTATGTAACATCTTAAGGTCTTTCTCAGCCATAGTAGTTCTATATGTAGTTTCCATGTTTTTTTTCAGTTGTACAAAACTATTAGATACTTAGTTGCTATATTGCCCCCTTTCTTGTTCAGTCACCAGTGAAAAATGCTGGCTTTATATCTCTACAAAGGAGGCTAAGAATTTTGGTAATAATCATGGAAGGGTACCTAGGAATGCAGCTTAATTTTACCTGGTGCAGTAAATATGTAACTCTTGAAACATGTAGTATGATCCTTGTTATATAAATACTTCTGAGAGTTTTGGTTTCTAGACTGCAAAGATTCTGGAAATAGTCTTTTCTTTGTCCCAGAGAGACCATAGGCAATAGCAGGGGTTAAAACTACATGAGCCAGATAATGGTGACTCATGCCTGTAATCTTAGCTACTCAGGAGGCAGAGATCAGGAGGATGGAGGTTTGAAACCAGCCCCAGGCAAATAGTTTGCGGAAACCCTATCTTGAACACAAAAAAAGGGCTGGTGGAGTGGCTGAAGTGGTAGAGTGCCTGTCTACCAAGCATGAGGCCCTGAGTTCAAACCCCAGTACCACCAAAAGAAAAAAATATATAAAATCTGTACATAGATGGTTCCTGAGGAGTAAAATAGATAGATGAATCCCTACCAAGAAGTCTTAAGTATAACCAAGGAAGTGATGATCAGAGTAGTCCCTCCCTTCATTGCCAAAGTTTTGCGATTATTTTTTCCTACATTTTGGAATCACTTTTGTAATATTTTGTTTGTTTTTGCAGTACCTGAATTTTGAACTCAGGGCCTCATGCTTGTTAGTCAGGTACTCCAAAGTCTTAAATCTACTTCCTTTGCTCCTTAACTGACATCTCTTCATTCAGTCCTTCTCTCTCTCACCACCACTTTTACTTAAATGACTCCAAGATCATCACTATCTTCCTGTTTTCCAAATGTGGTAGGGTCCCTCTTTTCATTCTCATACTAGTATTGCTAATTTCCTACCTAACATCTATACATGTCTTTTCTCCCAAAGCATCTCAGACCTATACCATCCTCTCCAAGAAACAGTCCCACAGAATTATCCAATTTCATATCAGCTTCAAGTTCAAACAGTTCTGTCTTAAAGTATAAAGGGAAAGTATTGCCTCTATATACTTATTAGATAATGATATAAGAAGGAGCAGAAAAATTGCAGTGAAAACTCCTGTTTTAAAAGAGAAGAAAAACACAACAGTCACTGGCCCACACCACTTATCACATGTTGCTAGATAGCACTAGTGAGGGCTCCCTATTCTGAGAGTGCAATAAAACCCTTATTTGCACTCTGGGAAAGTCTTCCTTATATATTGTAACCCTCAGCCATTTCTAGACCTACTGTCTGCCAGGGGGAGGCAATTCAGACAATATACTCTGTGGGAAGATACTACCTATAATGTGCACTGTGTCATTGGAGACTCATTTCTGTGGGATGGTGAGAACTCTAAACTGATGATGCAACACAGGCCAGGAGTCACTAATTTTATCATCCTGAATATATTCTCATTTGGAGGATAAAAGCATTTTTTTTCAAAAGCCTTACAATGTTCTAAATTATCACACTGTCAGGCAATTTAGATGGCCAACCATAGAGTGAGAGGGCTTCTGTTAGCAAAGCTTTATTTATTTATTTATTTATTTATATCTGTGATTGCATTCCAGCCAGTTCCATTCTGAGTTCATCTCTTGCTTATATGACTTGGTTAAATGCAGCAATAAAGCACCTACACATTTGCAATCCCCTTATTATATTCATTCATTCCACAATTGTTTATTAAACAAATTCTATGAATCAGGCCTTGTGCTAGAAGTGCAAGAGGTATAGCAATAAACAAAACCCATAGAGTTCTTGCCCTTATAATTTAGTGAGTCTGTCTCTTGCCTATACTTCAAATGGGGGTGTTTTCCCAAGTTCTGAAGGAAATCTACTTTCTTTTTCTTCTTTTCTCCTGAATGATTGCACCTATTCCCATAGCTTCGACTATTACCTCTATGATGAGAATTTACAAATTTCTAATTCTAACCCTATACCTTTCTTCTGTTCTTCCCTATATTCTACACTGTTTTGAACATCTTTACCTAGATGTTCTAAGGGCATCTTAAACTGAGTTCTTTTTCTGGCCCTGCTTTTCCCTAAGAAGTAGACCCTTGTTTTCTGATACTTTGTAAACTGGCATACCACCAGTATCTACAAACTAGGTCTCCCAAGCCTGAAACTTTGCCATTCTCCATTCTTCTCTTTACCTTACCCTTATTATATCCAGGTAGCTAGCTTCGTCCAAGTGATTCAGTCTCATAAAGATCTCAGCCCAACTTCATCTCTCTTTTCCTAACTGCTTTAGTTCATCTTCCCTTAGGCTATTAAGACTATTATCAGTCCTTGCCTGGCCCCGAAACACACCTCTATCTAATCTATGCTTTACCACCAGAATTATTTTGCTAAAAAATTACATGCTTGCCCAATATCTGTATTTCCAGTTGCCTATAATATATAAAATTTAAAACCCTTAGCTGAACATTTAGGGCCCTTCCTCCATATTATTTCACCAGACTCATTGCACTCTATGTTCCTTAACACTCTAGTCATGAATTTTTCTCCTTTTAGAAAACATAACTGGGAAAATCTGAATTTCAAGACATTTTCTCTTCTGTATACTGAATGTCTTCATGCCTTTCTGCCTTTGGATGTGGAATACCTCTATCCTCGCCCTCTGGAGTTACTCAAACTGCTGCTTTTTCTGTAAGACAGAGCTCTATTGGCATCTCTTAGTTGGTCCCTTCCTGGACTTCTGCAGGCCCAGTGAGTTGCTTCCTCCTCAGTGCTCCTTATACATTATCCATCCCTTTGTTACAACACTTACAATTTTAACAAATAATAAAACCTGCAAAACTCAGGTGTGGGACTTGTTTTCTTTATGGCTCTGTAACTAAACTTAACCTCGCTTTTATGCTACCATGTCCTAAGATAGGGAGAACTCTATCTTGACAATTCAAGATGAACGTAGTCATTTTTAGAAATTTCTTAGTCCCTTCAGCTTGAATTCAGTCCCTGCATGGTTTTGCCCTTTTTCTCCTCTTCCTTCTGAGAGTCATCTGAATGGTGGGAGAAGTATTGTAGTTGCCTGGCTCCTGGCTCCCATCTGCCCTCAATCTCCCAGTGCCCTCAGCTGGATAAATCACCCCCTGAGCTTTGATATTAACTTCCACCTGGGCCCTTTGCACTTAGGTAGTATCTGTATGACCCACCCTTGTCTTTTTCATGCTGAAGAAATTCCTTCCCAGACTATGTCTGTGTTCCTTCAGCAGGAATCTTTTGAGTCTGGGTAACTTCCAAGTTGAATGCAGGGTCTTGTTGCCTCACCTGTCCTGGAGTTTTCCTCAGCCATTGCTACTCTCCACTCAGGCACAGCCTAGATGAGAAAGTGCGCCCAGCGCAGCAGGCAATCATCCCCTTTTCCCTGGGAATCCCTCCAGTTGTTCTGAGATTGCTTTTTCTGCCTCATCTTGACTCTCAGCATTCTCTTGAATGAAGTGAGCCCCTTCCCATACTCCCAATCCCAGGTAAAAATCTTTAGTTCAAAAGCCCCTTTTTTCTCAAAAATTCTGTAAGTCATAATTTCAAGGCCATATTCTCTACTGTGAATTAAAAACAGTTATATGCCATGTATACATACATGTGTATATATACAGATGTTTGTTCTAAACTCTCTCTTTTTTGTCCATGAGGTAATTTGCAGCAAGAAGATCATGGTTCTAAGCCAGCCTGGGCAAATAGTTTGAGAGGTCCTATTTCAAAAATACCCAACACAAAAACAGGGTGGCTCAAAGGGTAGAGTGCCTGTCTAGCAAGTGTGAGGCCCTAAGTTCAAACCCCAGTACTGACAAAAACCTCAATGGAGGAGAAATAAAAATCAAGGAAAAAAGCGTTTTGATTTTTTTTTCTTCAAAGTTTTACCTTGCCACATAGAATTGTACTTTTATCTCTTTACATGCAAGGAATTCCCTTTGTGAGAACAAGGATCATGTCTTAGTCATTTTTTAATCTCTAGAGCTGCCCTATTCAATATGATAGCTGCTAACCACATGTGACTACTGAGTACATGAAATGTGGTTAATCTGAATTGTGATTTACTGCATTTCAAAGAGCTATTAAAATGTAAAATATCTAATAATATTTATATTAATTAGATGTTGGAATAATATTTTGAATCTAATAGGTTAAATAAAAATATTAATTTCATCTGTTCTTTTTACCTTTGGAATGTAGCTACTAGAAAATTTAAAATTACATATGTGGCTCATATTGCATTTCTATTTTTCAATGCTGTTCTATAGCCTAAACCAGTGTTTTGGTTAAGTGTAGAAAAAAAGTGAGGAGGAGGAAAGGAAGGTAGGAAGAAAGGAAAGAACGAGGATATAGCTTCAAAGAAGTTTGCATTTTTTCCCTCTGAGATTTTTTTTTTCAGTGCTGAGGACTAAACCAGGGCCTGTACATGCTAAGTATGTGCTCTACCACTGAACTACCTGCCCCCATCCCTTTAATGGACCTAGAAGGGGCGAGGAACAGGTTTATCCTGAGGTTCAGAATTTGGCCCTTAGCCTCTTGAGTTTTTGGTTTGTTTTTTATGAGACAGTGTCTTTTCTATGCAGCCCAAGATGACCTTGAACTCTTGATCCACTCAGCCCAAGATGACCTTGAACTCTTGATCCACTCACTTCAGCCTCCTGAGTGCTGGAATTACAGGCATGTACCACCATGCCTGGCTCTTGAGTATTATTGATACTCCAGAAGAGATAGTACAGGCAATATACCAGAATGGAGACTATTCATTCTAGTAGTTGAAATTGAGCATCTCCTTCTTAGTATCATAGTCTCCAGAATGACTGATGGGTGGAAAACTTCCTGGTAAGCATGAACCTAGATCAAAGTATGTGCATAGCCAGGCACGAATTGCTTGTACCTATAATTTTAGCTACCTACCTAGGAGACTGAGATCGGGAGGATTGCAGTTGAGGCCAGCCCAGGTGAATAGTTCATGAGACTCCATCTTCAAAATAACCAGAGCAAACTGGACTGGAGATGTGGCTCAAGAGGTAGAGCACCTGCTTTTTGGGAAGCCCTGAGTTCAATCCCAATCCCACCCCCCCAAAAAAAAGAAACTGCATGTGTAGATTCTCAGGTGAGAGTAGATAACCTACACCTGCTCCACAATACCTGTCCCCAGATCTGGGGTTGCTCCTAAATAATGAAACATGAACATCTGCATGCTTAACGTTCTCTGTATTTACACAGGTTTTTCTTGTAATACTGTCCATGGCTCAGCTTATGTTATTAGATACCATTTTCAAGAGTTGTAGAGATATTCTCTACTTGTACCTTGTAGAAATCAAGCAATGTTCTAAGAAAAACAGAAATTCTCTTCTATTATGTTGCTTGTCCACTGCTTGGTTAATGTTAATTTGAATCATAGTATCTCTGAATCTCAGATTTTTCATCATTTAAATGGAGATACTATTCAAATTATAGATTAATTATTTTATCTATGTTAAAATGCTTTGAAAGCCAGAGATTCTCTATAAACTCAAATGGTGTATTCAAATATAAACTATTATTATATTGCTGATGTCTGTGATAATTTGTCTTTGGGTGTCTTGGCTACAGATTAGGGATTTGGGACCAGGATAAAAGTGATTATTTGAAGGGCTAGTAAGAGAATACATTTGAGCACCAAAATTGGCAATATCATGTGCTAGATCATAATAATCTTTAAAACATTGTTTTCCTTTTAGATCCCAAATATGGAGCTGGAATATACTTCACCAAGAATCTCAGAAACCTAGCAGACAAGGTCAAGAAAACCTCTGGCACAGATAGGTTTATCTATGTGTTTGAGGCTGAAGTACTCACAGGTTCCTTCTGTGGGGGTAAGCAGTTAAATATTGTCCCCCCACCATTGCATCCTGGAGCCATAGATAGTCATGACAGTGTGGTTGACAGTGTCTCCAGCCCTGAAACCTTCGTTATTTTTAGTGGCATGCAGGCCATGCCCCTATATTTGTGGACTTGCATCCAGGATCATGTATGGCCAAAGGATTATTCATCAGGACCAGTGATGAGCTCTTCATACAAGCCTTGGGGAAAATTTACAAGTGGCAGCCCTGTTGATTAATCTCCATACCATTTTAACAACTGGAATGGTCTTGCTTTGGAGAAACTAACCAAATAATGACCATCAATTGTTTAAAGAGGGGCTTGAGTATGTCAACTGGGTTGGACTGACTGGGCTATTGAAGGGACCAGTCATATACAAGCATCTTAGTGCCTTCATCTTTGTCTCTTGGAGTTGGGATAGATAGATAACAACTACAACACTCTTATGATTGTTCCTTCTTGCAATTGTTCTTTCATCTTTTTTACTATAAGTAACAGCAAGAATGTTTTACATGTAATGAAGAGATTTTTCTGGTATATAATCTAAACCTTTTATTTTCTAAAATGCTGTATAAAATATTAGGACAACAGAACTGTTTTAAATTTTCTAGAGAATTTTATCAGGTGCTTTGGCTATCAGAATAAATCACCTTTGCCTAAGTAACTGACTCTGAATAATTATTTGTAAAATGAGGTAATATGAAATCAAAGAATATCAGAAGACTGATACTCAGTTTTGAGTCAGCTATAGTCAGCAATCCACTGAAGCACCATGTATCCTAAGTATTGATTCACCAAGTACTTAACTGACCACTAGAAGTGTTTCAGTCACTTTCTGGGTGCTAATCAGAAAAAGAAGTTATGGATAACTTAACAAGTGTGATTAGATATAACAAAAGAGAAATACAAATTCCTTGAAAAATTTAAGAGGGGCAAAAACAAATTGAACACGAATTGGGAGAAGGCCTCCAAAAGGAACTGAATTCAATGTGAGGCCATAAGGAATGCAGCAAATCAAGAGTAGAGTTGAAAGAGTATTTTAGGCAAAGAAAATAGCTTTTATAAAGGCTGAATCCACTATGACTGGGTTCAAATTTGACTTTAAGGTTCAATTTGTAATGAGGCTAATTTCATCATGTATCTATTATGTACTTTCAAATTCATATCTTTGTACTTATGAACTCTCCTAATCTCACATCCTCAGCATTTTGTATAGAATACATCCTTCTCCTCCATGTCTTACCTTAACCTGCATTTTCCTTTTTCTTCCCCCTCCCCACCCCCGGTATTAGGGATTCAACCCTGGGCTCCATGCTTGCTAGGCAAGCACTAATATACCACTTGTACTATGCCTCCAGTCTTTGTTTTTGAGATACGGTCTTACGACCTTTGCCCAGGCTGGCCTTGAACGTGTGATCCTCCTGCCTCCGCCACCTGGGTAGCTAAGATTACCATGCCTGGCTGTATTCTCTTTGCTGAAAGAAGCTGATTGTCTTGTATAGTACTCCCCTTGTTTCTGAGCAAGAAGGGCTCTGTCTTGATCCTCTGCTTTGAAAGGTTCCTTGCCTTTGTCCCTTACTTGAGAGGATCCCATTCTGGCCTTCCTCTAACTGGATCCATTAACACAAAGCAAGGAGTCCACAAGGCCAAGAGAATGGGTCCATCTGGGGCCTTCACTACTCAGTTCACAAGTTCCAAGTCACCCATTAGGTACTTGGAACCCCTAAATTTCCTACTTAAAACAGCTCTGGATCTATTTCCAGGGTCTAATTAAGTCTCTTTCCTAGGACTCCCTTCCTATGGGTGGATTATGCTTCAAGTATGGCCAAAAGGAGCTAGGCACAGTGGTTGACTCCTATAATCCCAAACTACTCAGAAGGCAAAAATTGAGAGGATCGCAGTTTGAGGCCAACTGGGGCAAAGAGTTAGCAAGATTCCACATCAACAATAAGCCAGATGTGGTGGCTTGCCAGAGGCTACAGGGAGGAGGATCATAGTCAAAGGCCAGGCAAAAATGCAAGAACCTACCTGTGAAACAATTAAGACAAAAAGGGCTGGGGGCATGGCTCAAGTGGCCTGCCTAGCAAGTATGCCTGAGTTCAAACTCTAGTACTGACAAAAAAAAAAAAATGGCCAAAGGGTTTGGGGGTATGGTAGAACTTGACTAGCCTGTGTCAGACCCTGGGTTTGATACCCAACACCACACAAATACACAAGGAATAGCCATAGGATGGCTATTTTTACGTGTGGGATATGGCAGCTGAGGTGTCTACATATATGTATATGAGGCCTGTGGCGTAAAGTTGAGAGTAAGAGGACAAATTGTCTTTGAAGAGGCGATAAGGAGCACAGAGAAGGATGAACTAACTGGAGTTGTTCGATGTTACTGTAGGCTGCAACTAACAGCCTACAGGAAAAAAGAACTAATTTTTTTGAAAATAAGTTTATTTTTAAACCTTAAAAAAATGTTCCCAGAAAAAAGCAACCAAGTTAAATGGAACTTTCTGAATTTCTTTGCTTAACTATAAGCTTATTTGAAATTTAACTCCAATTTCAGGTCATATCTATGCTATAAACACATTTTCCTTGTGGAGAAGAGATTGAACTTGTATACAGTGCTCTTCAGAGTGTTTTAGAAGTGATAGGCATTTCAATATGGACAGCTTACATGTTAATGTGTAGATGTAAAGGATCTGGTTGACAGAATGTACATACAAGTGGATGAACATTTTGTAGAGTTGGAAATAAATTCTCACAAGCTTAAAAACTGCTGTGCTAGTAAATAGGATCCTAAATAGTCTATACTCAAACACTTTTGTTCAGAGAAAAATTAGTTTAATGCCATTACCTTTTACTGACAAAAGAAATCAGGGCAATGCAGGCAGAAAAGCACAGCAGCAAATCAAAATTAATTTTATGTTTGACTGTATTCAATTTTATCATTAAACCAAAAGAAAGGGGTTCCCCAAAGCTCCAGGCAGTTCAAGAAGTATTAATGACAAAGGAAACAGAGCAGAAAGAATAAAAATATTCCACTGCATCATGGGACAGAAACAAGTGATTATTTTTAATATGGGTAATACCTATTTAATTAGTTCTATTGTATTTATATTCTTTTAAAAAATTTTAATTTATATGCCTTAAGAATATAGTATAGCCTACAAAATTTAAATACTATATAATGAATTACAATAAATCGCTACACCAGAGAAACATGAAAATATTGTCATTTTTCTTATACCAATTATTTGTGTAATTGGTACTTGTTCTAATTATTACTAGTTGCCACTTTTAACTAGTCCTATTGCTATTTTGTTTAAGTAATACCATATATATAACAGAAAAGAAACATGACAATACATAATTTCAAGTGAATATCTATTTTTATATTTTATGTTCAAGTAAAATATATATGTGCTTTGTATTTTTTTTATTTACTTCCACACCTATTAGATTGGCAAAAATTTAAAAGTCAGACATTTCCAAATGTTAGCAAGTATGTGTATAAAGAGAATCTAATTCAATGTTCGCAGAATATAAATTGGTATAATCACTTCCTGAAATAATTCAGCAATATCTAGTGCATTAGTTTTCTGTTGCTATGTAACAAATTACCAGAAACATAGTGGCTTAACACGAATTTATTATCTCACAGTTTCTGTGGGTCAGGAGACTATGCACAGCTATCTAGTTCCTCCTCTCAGTGTCTAACAAAGCTGCAATAAAGCAAAAGGTCAGTGTGTATTCTCATCTGGAGGCTGAGTGGGGATGAATCTCTTTCAGACTCAGGCTGTTGACAGAATTCATTTCCTTGTGGTTGAGTGACTGAGAGCCCTGGCTTCTAACATGCTGATAGCTAAAAGCTGCAGTCAGGTTCAAAAGGCCATCTGTGGTTACCTACCACTTCAGCTGACAACATAACTTGTTTCTTCAAGGCCAGCAGGAAAGTCCTTAGCTCCAGTCTGCTAAGACAAAGATTATATAATGAAATGTCATCACGGGATGTCTCCCATTATCTTTGCCATGTTCTATTGGCTAGAAGTAAGTGAGCGGTCCCATCTACACTCGAGGGGTAGGGACATCCACAGCAATACCAAGAGGCAGAGCTCATTAGAACTGTCTTAGAATTCTGTCTACCTCATCTAATGACATTAAAAGTGCAACGTAGGCTGGATATGGTGGAGTGTGCCTGTAATTCAAGCTACTTCAGAGGTGGAGTTAGGAGGAGGGAAGTTCAATGCCAGGCTGGACAAAGTAATGGAGACTCTGTCTCAACCAAATACAAAGAAAAGGCTGAGGGTATATGGCTCAAGTGGTAGAGTGCTAACCTCCTATCCATGATGCTTTGGGTTCAATTCGAATTCTGCAAAGAAAAAATGTACTAGGATATAGCAGTTTCCCTGCATAAAGTATAGATGTATAAAAATACTTGTAACAGTACTATTTGTGATAGCAAAAATAACTGTCCTATAATTTAAAATAGAAAAGATAGTCAGAAATATACAAAAGATATAGCCATAGAGGCATTAACATATAAAATATTACATATGGTATGCCAACATTTTTGTAAGAGTAGCATATAAGAAATGCTTTCAGAAATGACCTACCTACAGTTGCTTTGAATCAACCCTTCCACCACTAAGGGCAATTGGAGAAATTAAAAAATGCTATTGGAGAAGTACCAAGACAGTTGAGAATTCCTGGGTGGAAGAAAAGGAAACCTATGAGAGATGATCCTCACATTTACCATTTCCTTTTTTTTTGGTGGTACTGGGGTTTGAACTCAGGGCCTATCCACTTGTTAGGCAGGCAGGCATTCTACCACTTGAGCTGTAAGGCCACACCTTTGCTGTTGCTTTTCTAAACCTATAGTAACTACCAATTCTAAAAGCAGTGGCTAAAAAACTGAGCAGAGCTTTTGGCTATCTCATGGGCCTGAGGAGGCCCTGCCAAAGAGGAGAGGCCATAATAAATACCTAGACTTTTGGTTGGGACCTCAAGGATTATATTCTACCTAAGAGTAAGGGTAAACTGGAAAAAACAAATAAACAAAAAACTGGCTTTTACCAGACTGAAACCAGAGTTTTGGACCCAAGGCCCAAACTCCTGGGATTCCACATGTCAGGTCTGGCCACTTGCCCCTATACACTCCCCCCCTCAAAAAAAAAAAAAAGCATGGTGAAGGGTAGAGAAAGGAGATTTATTACACAGCTTGAGATACACTGTGGGAAAGAGCAGAGCAAGCAGTCAGCCCGTCTTTGGGGTTCAGACATGAGTTACAGGTTTAAGTAGACAATGAAGTGGGGGACAGGGGTGAGAGGTAAGGTATGCATAGTTACAAAGTTTCAGTCACTGGTGTGTTCTGATTGACCATTATCTCAGTCCATGTTCTGTGCAAGGTTCTGAAGTTGTTATCTAGAGTCAGGCCAGTGGTCCATTCTGAGGAGGCTTTATTGTTGGGGGTAGTTTCTGTCCCTTGTTATGAAGATACCAGTTTTGTCCCTTCTGTAATCCACGGTGATCACAAAGTGACTTCAAAGAGAATGGTTTAAAGCAAAGGCAGATACAAAATCAAAGACAGATGCCATGAAGCATTTAATTTGGGAATAATAATGGCAACTGCTTACCTACCAGTGCAACCTAGGCAAATAAATGTCTTTTAAAAAGAAAATTTATGCATTTTTGAGATGAAAGTGCAACTTTAAACATTTTTTATTAGGACATATTCATTATAAGGGGGGGAGATTTGTAGTGACAATTCAGATTAGACTTATATTGTACATTATTTACATTGCCCCCATCGTCTCTCTCCCTCAGCCCCCTCACCACCCCACTTAAAGCAATTGCAAGAGGTTTCATATAGGTATATAAAGTCCATCTGCCATATACTGTCACCTTAATCTCCTTCCCTCACTCTTCCCCTTCCCACTAGTGCCTCCCCCACACGTTGTACCTATTTTATAGTACTGGTTTTCGTTATTAATATTTAAGTTGATATTGAAAATATTACTAATGCTTTATTATTCTCTTTTCCTGAGTTCCATAGAGTAGTTCCACTGTTACAAACATGTTCTACATCTGAGTTTGTATATGATCATGCTTGTTTTTGTGTATATGTTTATCTTTGGATCTGTCTTGTATGTATGAGCAAAACATGTGGCTTTTGTGTTTCTGGTCCTGGCTTGCTTCACTTAGTACAATGTCCTTCAATTGTGACCATTTACCTTCAAACCATATCATTATTTCTTATGGCTGAATAATACTCCATTGTGTATATATACCACAATTTCTTGATGCATTCATCAGTTGTAGGACAGCTTGCTATTGTGAATAGTGCTGTGATGAACATTGGTGTACAGGTATCTCTATTGTATCCTGTCTTATGTTCCTTTGGGTAGATGTCCAGGAGTGGTATCATTGGATCATATGGCAGCTCTAACTCTATTTTTTTGAGGAATCTCTATACTGTTTTCCATAGTGATTATACTAATTTGCATTCCTACCAGTAGTGTGTAAGCGTTGCTGTTTCATAACATCCTTGCCAGCATTTGTTATTACCCTTGATTATGGCCATTCTAACTGAGGTAAGATGAAATTTAAGTGTTGTTTTGATCTGCATCTCTTTTATAGCCAGGGAAGTTGAACACTTCTTCATGTATTAATGGCATTTGTACCTCTTCCATTGAGAAGTCCCTGTTTTATTCATGTGCCCGTTTCTTCACTGGGGTGTTGATTCTTTGAGGGCTGAGTTTTTTTTTTTTTAGTGTGTAAGCGTTGCTGTTCATAACATCTTGCCAGCATTTGTTATTACCCTTGATTATGGCCATTCTAACTGAGTAAATGAAATTTAATGTTGTTTTCTGCATCTCTTTTATAGCCAGGGAAGTTGAACACTTCTTTCATGTATTAATGGCATTTGTACCTCTTCCATTGAGAAGTCCCTGTTTTATTCATGTGCCCGTTTCTTCACTGGGGTGTTGATTCTTTGAGGGCTGAGTTTTTTTTTTTTTTTTTTGAGTTCCCTATAGATTCTGGATATTAGTCCCTTATCAGATGAGTAGCTGGTAAAGATTTTCTCCCATTCTGTGGGCTGTCTGTTGAGTCTAGTGACTGTTTTCTTTGCTGTGCAGAAGCTCTTTAGTTTGAGAGAAAGTGCAACTTGTAATTGCCTTTGTCTTAATATTTCTTTTTATTTTTAAAAAAGCAGTTTGAGCACCTCTTACAAAACTACTGTTAATAATCAGTCTTATCTCTTGACTGGAATAAGATGATCTGTCCTCAGCCTCTCTGTGGTCAGGATACTTGCTCCTAGGTCTCTCCCATAGAACACCTTCTCTTTCCCAGTGCCCTTGCTCAAAATTAACTCTCGTCCTAATAAACACACCATCAGGCAGAACTCTGATGCAGCAAAGTAAGAGAGATCCGAAACAAATGAACATTGCATATCCTAGGAATCAACTAGTGTGGTACTCTCTCCCCTACCATCTTTCACTTATAAATGTATCAGTCTGCCCCATTTGTTGCTTCTCAGCATGTGTGTTATATTGGTTTGGTAAACCATGTCATATGTGATACTCTTCTATTCCGTGACCTCTTTTAGCTGGCTTCAGTTTTTATTATTTTGAAGGCACTACTTCATTTGCTCCGTAAAAGAATGCCATCAAATTTAACAGTAGCAATCATTGGTCCCAAATTTTCGTTTGAGAGCACTTATACATAAGAGTAAAGCAAGTATTTGTATTAAAAAAAATTTTTTTTGAGACAGAGGCTCCCTATGTAGTCCCTGCTGGCCTGAAACTCTACAGCTTCTCGCCTCCGTCTCCCTAGAATTACAGAAATGTACCATTGTGCCTGGCTTGAAAAATTCATTTAATGATTTATGATACTAATAAATTATCAGGCAAAAGGGGTGGGAGTGAACTAAAAAGGGAATACCGGAAACTTCCTATAAACAAGGTGCGCATGAGTCCTTGGGCCAAGAGAGGCTGACGTAACACTTTCGTAATACTCCTTCGCCCTTCTACCACACCATCATTCATTCAATAAACAAGTACTATATTAGGTATGTACCACGTGAGAAGGTAGCGAGATACGGTAAGAGGAATCCGTCCGCTCTGGAAGAGTTTACTCAAGACAGGTTTACAAATTTCTCTGGCCTTTGCCTTAGACTGCAAACTTTCTTCACAGAGAGACCCTGTCCTTGCCCCCGACTATTTACTCTTGGGCTCTATCCACAATCGCCCATCCTGAAAAGCCCTTAGAAGACTACATCTCCCGGCAGCCTCTGTGGCGGGGAGGCGGGGCGGGGCGAAGAAGCACGCAGGCGCACAGCTCGGTCCCCCGCACGCAGGCGTAGTGCGCACGCCGGCTGAGCTGGGTCTTGCTTCTTGGTGCGCGGCGGCGGAAAGCGAGGCCTGGTGAACACCACTGAGCCGTGGGCAAGCTGGTCGAGGTTGTGCTCGGAAGAGGGGCGGTGGGCAGACGAGAGTGCGAGCGCCTTACCCTAGCAGCGGCACCGAGATCGGCTGCCTCGAGCCGGTGAGTGAGCCGGCCGTGGCCCCTCCCCCTCCCGCCAGCGGATCCGGGCTGTCCTAGGTGGGACCCAGGAGAGGCCCCGGGGCGAAGGCGGGAGCCGGCCGAGGCTCGAGCTGGGGTGTCTGGGCCCGGACGCTCGCGGCGCGTCGGTGCGTCACCGGCCCGGCTGCCCTAACGGCCGCGCGGCCGACCGAGGGAAAGGGGGGGCGGGGAGCGCTGGTGTGATCGCCACTAGGAACGCCGGTCGAGGCGGGGCGGCGCGGCGGGTGGAAGCTCTGCCGGGGACTGCGGGGCGCCGCGGTAGCAGGGCGGAGATGAGGCAGCGAAGCCTGCGCTGCGGCCGGCGCGCGCAAGCTAGCGGGCGGGGGCGGAGGCGGGGCGGGGCGGGGGTGGGCGACGCGGAGAGCGAAGAGAGGCCGGAAGGAGCCGGGGTGGCATAAAGACTCGAACCCACCGGAAGGGACCGTCTTGGGAATTGACAAGTACAGCTCGGGCCCGAGCGGGTGTTGGGAGGAGGTACGATGGTGGAGACGGGCGGCTGCACTTTGCAGATGTCATAACAACCTGGGCCCGAAGCGGCTGACAGGGGTGTGGTAATGATAGGAACGACAGAACTTGGTCCGGGCAGAGGAGTGTAAACCGGGATGCCTTGGAAACTGGTCGCCAAGTACTAGATGAAAGGCTGAAGGATAACTGCAGTGGAGGAAGTCTTCTCAGGATTGAGTGAAAGTGCTTTTTGTTCCACTTTTTAGTGAAAAGTTTCAAAATAACTGATTTTTAAGGTACGAACTCAGATTTCATAAACAGTAAACCATCGCGAAATACTTTTTGAAATATCCTGTTAAATACTCTTACTAACTTTATTATTCTTTGTTTCCCTTAAACTGTTCCTTCAAAATCTTTATTAGCAGATGAGTAGGTAATTTTTTTCTCTTTCTCCTTCTCTGTCTCTCCCAACTTCTCTGCGGTACTGGGGTTTGAATCAGGGCCTCAGTGCTTGCTAGGCAGGAGCTCTAACAATTGAGACACTCTGCTGGCCCCTTCTCTTCCTCTTATTAGTGACATTGCCTTTTCCTTGTTCTTTTGTGTTTTTGAGACAGGGTGTCACAGTGTAGCCCCGGCTGCCCTGGAACTTCTATTCTTCTGCCTCAGTCCACCATCACCCCTCAGTGCTGGGATTACAAGAATGTACCACGAAACCAAGTTTCTTCATTTTTTTCTTATATTTGTAATGTTTTGGAAATAATCTGGAAGTTAGTGATTCCTCCATTTTAAAGATTGGAGAGATTAAAACTTAATTTTTTAAGGAAACAGCTTTGTTGTATTTTTACTGAAATTATTATGGGAAGACAACTGTTGTGTATATGTGATTTTAAGATGAAGAGCATGAGAATAAAAAAATTAGCTCTTATAGAGCTCCTTTCGAGCTAATGGGCTAAATACACGTATTGAAATATTTAAAACTTAAAGTAACTTTGAAGTGGATGTTAATTTTTCTGTTTTACAGATGAAAGTATGGAAAGAATTCCAGTTCTTGCTGGAACAACTTTAGAACCCAAACTCACCATCATCTTTAGAATTACTTTTCTGCCCCCAGCATTGAAAGAAAAAAAAACAAAAACTATTTCTCCTCTTCTTTCATACTTGATTGGGGTTTTGTTTGATTTTGGTTTATTTAGAGAGTCTCACTATGTAGAGAGTCTCACTAAGCTGGTCTTAAAGTGGAGATTCTCCTGTCTCAGGCCTGTACCACCTCTTGGTCTTGGTTGTGTTTCTTTATCTAATGCATTCATTCATTGAATACTTTCAGAGTGGTATTTGTCTGAAAAACTGAGGATATTGTAATGTTCAAGACACACCATCCATGTTCTCATGGAATTTATAGTGTAACAGGGAAACCTAACAAATAATATAAAAACCACATGGCATTCTGCTCATTATAATTGAGCAGAAACTGTAAAAAAGCATTTTTACAAAATAGCAAAGGAAGTTCAAATGGAAGCACACAGTATAAGCTTTGAGGGTCTTTACAGTCCTAATAAAAACCTAGAATGAGAGCCAGACACGGTGCCTCATGCCTGTAATCCTAGTGTTTAAGAGGCTGAAGGAGGAAGATTTAGAGTTTCGGGCGAGCCTGAGTTATATATTAAGAACCTGTCTCAAAAAACAAAACTACAAAATAAAACCCTAGAATAGGTCTGGGGGTATAGCTCAGTTGCAGAGTGCTTGCCTAGCATGCTTGAGTCTTGGGATCCACCCCTAGCACCATCAAAAAACAAAACCTAGAACATCTAGGAGAAACAAAGTGACAGAAATAAATGCATCACCTGAAATCCATATACTTGCATTATGCTTATTGCAAAGTGCTTTTCAATGAAGATTCTTCACAAAACTGGTTTAATATTATACACTTTGAATTTATCTAGAGCTGCTACATACCATAGGAGGCCATGAAAAAAAATTTTTTTGCTGTGCTGGGATTGGAACTCAGGGCCTCACACTTGTTAGGCAGGAGCTCTACCACTTGAACCACTCCACCTGCTGAAAAAAGATCTGTATTGCCATCTAAAATACTATTTCTAATTTATTTGTTGGTTCCTATAAAATACCAATCATGGAGACAAATTACTTTTTTTTTTTTTTTTTTTTGGCAGTACTAGGGTTTGAATTCAGGACCTCGTGCTTATTAGGGAGGTGCTCTGTCACTTGAGCCACACTGCTAGCCCTTTTTGCTTTAGTTATTTTTGAATAGGCTTCCTATTTATGCTTCCTGCTGGGGTGATAGGTGTGCACCACCACTCTGGTTGAGATGGTGCCTCCCTGACTGTTTGCCTGGGTTGACTTGAACCGTGATCTTCCATGTATCTGCTCCCTGAGTAGCTAGGATTACAAGTGTGAACCACCATACACAGCTGACAAATTCTTCTGAAGACCTCAATGCTCAGCACTTTTGTTTGTTTTAAAACAACTGCCTTTCATTAGGTTATTTTGTTGAGCCATCTTGTTTCTTTAGAAGTGTGTAGTATACATAAAGTGAATTAAGATCATTGATTGACTATGCAAGTAAAGATGGCTGACCTAGTGATAAAGATAATCCCCTGATCCTTTTGGTTTTAAGGTATCTTTACTTTGTAGGGATTATGAATTTAGCTATAGCAATGGAAGAACAAATTTGAAGTGGTAAACAATTCAATTAGCTGATGTCTTTCTTCCCTTGTTGCAGTAAGCAGAGGGTGAACCCAAGACCAATTTGGGGGCCAGAATTAGGACAGGAATTAGAAAATTTTGAGGTTGTGCATTGAAAGAGGGGTGAAGACCGATGGAATATGCAATTTTTTTTTTTTTTTTTTTTTGGTGGCACTGGCGCTTGATCTCAGGGCCTTACGCTTGCTAGGCAGGCAGTCTACCACTTGAGCCACTCCACCAACTGTTTTTCTTTTTAAAGATGCTAACAATACTAAAAAACAAATCTGAATTAAAAAAATGTTTCTGACCTAGTGCTGTAGACTAACTGAGACAATTCTTGAGAGCAGGCAGTAATCCAGAATGTGGATAATAGGGATAATCTCCTTCATATAAACAAGAATAATGCTGCCCTTCATATACAAAGATAAGTCTGCTTACTCATCATGCTCGTTGACTTTCCATCACGAGCAGGGATATGTGCTGAATTGTCCATATATCTCTATGCTTTTTGACTAGCAAGGCAGCTTGGGGTCAGAATGGGGTTTTGTAGCTGGGGAACAGATAGTGCTAAAATCTATGAATGGGTCAAGTCTGCATCAGATACTTTTATTTATTCTTGCAAAACCACTTTGAGGAGGTGTTTACATGTACAGTATGATTAGGTAACTTGCCCTACTTTACAGAATAAGTGGTGGAGCTGGGATTCAAGCATAAGGCTGTTTATAATTACATTAATCATTAAAACTTGGTTTTATTAGCAGCTCAGTCTCTATATCAGAACAAACTAGATTTAGTTTAACATCATGAAATGATGCTGTAAAAGTCAAATTCAGTAACAGGTGAAAGACTGTCTAAGTTTCTTGTTTTACCACCATTCAAAAAAATTCAATTTTAAAATTAGAATAATAGCTGAAAAGCTACTGTCCCCAGCCACTACACTTTATAAAATTACTCTTTCTCTTATTTTCTCCTGTTTACATCTATATTGCAATTTTTGATACAATAATTTTTAACATCTGCTATTGATACTCCTCTAAGTAAGATATTCCTAGGTGTTCCATACATACCCACCTCACCTAAACATACACTGCTTCTCCCTTTTCAAGACAGTTACCACAGGTGTTTGTTAAGTCAATATTCAGTAGTTGCAGTATTATAACAGTGTAAATATTCACAGCCCAACCATGTGAAGTACTGTGATAATCATCTTCAGGAGGTAGTATTTTTATTTGTTGTTCATTTCTTGAGAATTGTAATGGAAACCTTTGTACTCTTAATGCGATCTGGACTGTTTATATTCTAGGCATGTTTCACGGCTGTCATCCTGGGACTTCTCTTTATATCATTTTAAATGCTCTTTGCCTGTTTCCTGCTTTGGATCCATGTTTCTTGTGATTTTTTTGTTGGTTTATTAATTTCCTTGGAGTACACCTTCTAGTAACTCACTGACATAAGGTACCTGGCAGTATGAGATCTTGAATGAATAAAAATAATCTTCATTCTGCCTTCAGATTTGATCAGTCATTTGCCTGGGTATAAAATCCTAGGTTGTAAATCAGTTTTTCTTAACGTTTAGAAGTCAGAGCTCAATAGCTCGATTGCTTCGTTCCTTCTAATGTTACTTTTGAAGTCCAAAGCAATTCTGATTCTTCTTCATTTGTAATGTTGCCTTCCTTGTTTGCCCTCAAATTTCTAGAAGCTTTTATGATGTTATTTTTAATCCTTGATATTCTATGATAATATGCTTAGGTGTTCTCTGTCCCTTCTATTTAGGGGCATTCCCTGGATCCCCTTACAAGCTGGGAATTTGGTTTTTA